CTGATCTCAAATTGCTAGGCTCCATAAGTGTGATGGAAGAAACATTATACTCTCAATACAATTTCACGAAAGTGTTGTAGGGTTTCCTTTGGGTAGCAGCAAAAGAGGAAAATAAAAAGCGAATACGATCTGATTTTTTTTTTCTTTCGTTCTCCCCCCCAATGCGGCTTACTGTCGGACAGCCACGACGGAACGAATTTCAAGACGTGGCTTCTTCCGAAGGAAAGGAAACGCCTGGACGCGTTTGGCATCTGGGAAACCGGGGGAAAACAAAATCGTCCGGAATTTGGAGCCTGATGGCTTCCGACGAGGGCATTGCCCGAAACTCACTGTTATAGCAAGAAATGTGGATGAAAGCAACTAATTGCTCAGATGTATTTGTTTGCCAATGGGCAGGAAGGAATGGTGCTTTCATCATATGCCATTGAGCATTGCAGAAAATCCATTCCGTACACAGGCCATTTTTCAAATAAGATTGTGCAAATCAATCTTAAAAGTGAAGAATATATCAAATGAATCAGACCTGGAGATAACTTAAAAGCGGGAAATGGCAGAAAAATTACGAGGACTTCAGCGAATTGTTGGAACTCGAGAGTCAAGAGGGGGAGGTATTCCTTCGTTATGTGCACAGTACGGACACACCGACTTCGTTTTGCGCACAGTGCTTATATGTGCACAGTCACTGACAGCTTATGTATCAGTTGTCCGTAGGACATGCACCCCACCTCCTAGAGGCGGACACCTGCCTTGCTATAGCATAAGTCATTAGTGTCATAATATGTCTGAAGATGTCCCTAAAGTAACTTTCAATGATCACGTGAAAGGAAGACGGGAAGTCTACCCTTCCGGTCAGCTTGTCGAATTCATTCATGAATGAGACGTCGTCGCACCAGCAAGGTGAGTGGAGTCCGTCTGTATATCTCGTTTGATTTGGTTGTGTTAAAGGCATCCAACGAGATATGTCAATTATACGACAATTTCCAGCTGGCCCAACTTCAATAACTTCGGGAGCCTGTTGTTTTGGATGGCTTGGCACCATGGACGTTGTAAGAGGTGATACTCAAGATCAAGGATACGCAGGCCTCAAATGTATTCAGTCAAGTTTGAAGACAAATTCAGTCAAGTTTGAAGACAAACATGTCAATAAGCAAATGAGATTGAGCAGCTCGTCATGGGTCAGCAAAGCCTACTGGGGATATTGTTGCCGAACTTCCTGGAGGAAATCCAGGAATGGATTGGTCCCATGTAAAGTCCTCCACCATCCCTCGGCAAGATGCTTCTCTAACATGGGTTGGGTGGTGCCCCGGCCTCTTTTTAGGATGCGTTGCTTCATGGCCCCCCATTGGGATTCGATGCGTTGTGTGTGCGCTCCTTTAAGGATTCATAACCTCAATGAAATTGAAATAAGTTCATAATCAGGGGAGAAACTAGAAGGAATGTTCTCACCGGTCACTGGATCTACAAAGTTTTCAGAGTGATTTACAGTTTCGTGGAGGAACCCCCTTGTACTTAGATCGTTGTACGCAGCCCATGAATCGGNTCTCACAAGTCCACCATATATCTCATTGTGGGACTAGTTAAAATATACTGTGCACACAACGAAGTCGGAGTTGAGATAGACTGTGCATGTGCTGTACGCACTGTGCACAAAACGAAGGAAGGGGGGGGGGGGGGGTGCTTCATCGTTCCAAGGAGGCTGTGTGGGCTGATATGGAATGAAAGAATTAGCCTAAGATTGGTAGTCTCAGCTTGTGAAAGCGATCGATCCAGGTAGCGGATGTCGCGATGGACAATACTTCCTCTTGAATTTTCCTGCGTGTATCATCACCGTTGTTATTACTTTTTAGGTAATACTACTACTTTTTGGTAATACTGCTACTTTTGATAGGCAGAGTATTTTATTCCTGGGGAGGATGGTCTCGTCCTGCGCGGCATTCAGGGCCAATGCGCGTGCGTGTCCTAGGCCTACAGGATAGTTACAGCATTGTACACCAACTTGCTCATGGAAGCCTCCTGGGTTGATTTACCGTCAGATTCCTCTCCAACTCTGAAAGCGCTGGTGGTAAATGCCAGGCTAGGATAAGCGTGCGGAACGCTCAATCAACATGCCGGTGAAGAGGCCTTTGACGATGGTAGGAACGCCGGCTTTCCAACATAGGAACAAAGTGTGTTCTTATATCTTGGCGGGCTGCGTGGCCGTAGGTGGATTCTACATGTGAGTCTTTCATGCAAGACGTTATGATAGGGTCATGGCTAAGCCTAGGGTGGGTTGCAGTCTGGGTAAGGGTACTTCACTTGTGCCCAACATTTTTTCGGGCTTTCAGAACTGGCATTTCATATTTATTTGGAAGTCGAGTCATTTGAAAATCACTGTTGTCATGTGCATGATTGAACTAATGATATGAGTTTGGCAATTTATTCTGGAAGTCAGTGATAAAACTGGTTAATTAGGTATAGGCCTATATGAGTTGGTAACGACTTAAAAAAAATATTTGCTTTGGGAATCACTATCATATCTACAGTCTCAGGCATGCCTATGAAGATGGCAATGATTGTGGATTATGGCTTGTTCAGTCAATTCTCCAATAAGAAAGAAAACAAGGAGTTGCAGAATTTAACTGGTCTTCACTTCCCAGGATGGCAGTGACAGTAGTGATCTGAATGGAAGGGACTGAGGAAGGTGGGATTGCACACATCTGCTGCATTTTGAGCATGCTATGTTATGGAATTAGTTTGATGGGCCTCAGGCCTACTTGAGGATCAGGGTGAATAGGTCTTGGACTTGTAGTGGTTGTTAGTATGATTGTCTTCTTGATTAGCATGGGAATAGACAAATTCATCTGGAATTGATGGAAGCATCCCTATGGGGGTCATAAATTCAATCCAAAAACAGTGTACTGGATGGATGATACAGTTCTCTGCCTTTTTTTCCCATCTATATTGAAGTTATTTAGGCCTAATGCACCAATTACATGCCACCTCTCATCTTCATACCTGATAAGGCTGTCTTCTTGCAGATGGCTGTTGGGTGATCGTTTCTCTCGTGCTGCATCTGACTCCTGGTTTGCAAAATTGGACTCATATCTGCCCCAGCATGGTTCTTTTGACCCTATGCAAGGGACACTATTTGGGAAGAGTTCTGAGCAGCTGAAGGCAGAACAAGAAGCTGAAGCTCTGGGAGACTCATACCGTGTCAATTCCTGAAGTTGTGATTGACTCAGACTGTCAATGCCATAAGACTGTGGATTAGTTTCCAGTAGTGATTTGATATAGGCCTGCCTCTGGTGTTTGTATATTATTTGTACTACTTTTTATCAGATTTTGATGCTTGGTAGTTCTTTCAAGCTCTACTATGGCATCTCAGCAAATTAACCTGTCATTAAATGACACAGATGATTTTGTTGATGGTGGCTGCTCAAATGGAAGGAGGTGAGAATTCATTTTTGGTATACATATCTTCGGGTGTTATTGAATGTACTCAAAAAAATTATTGTAGAGCAAGGTCATTGAAAATGTTAAAATTCCTTAAGCATGGTGATTACTTAAAACATTCTGAAAGAGGCTTCACCATGACATTGCAACCAAGGAAGGGCATTAGTGGAAAGAAAAAGAGGATGTTATCTTTCTTTCGAACATCCTATGTATGCCAGTACATTGGGAACAGCGTAATAAAACCTTTCATATGGTCAGTCTTAGTTGCTTTATCAAGAAACTTTCGTGAAGATGCTTGTGGAATAGTTACATAATTCCGCACCTAATATTTCTTACTTAATACTTCTGACCATATACATCACCATTATAATTGCCTTGTTCTTTTGTCCAAGGGAGCCAAAAGTAACTGCAAACAGGGTTGGAAAAATTATTTTAGGGGCTCCCTTCTCTCTACCCAGCCCCCAGAGGGATATGAACCTCAGCAAAATGGCTAGTGGAAAATGGATTATGGAAGCAGAACTCCCCACAAAGGGAATGTAGTCAGGGCTAGTGCTATCTCTAGGAATATGTTTAGCCTAGGCAGACAACTGATATCTTCCCTCCCCCATTGTCCCAATAGTAATTGGAAGGATAATACCACACTAGAAAAAAACTGAGGGAGGATTTTGAGCACGTGAAGGACCAATGTGGGAGTATGAAGTGCTAGAATATTACGGATGGCATAGAAATGCAAATGGCTCTTCTTTTACACTTGTCCTAGGTAGTTATCAGGTCAATTCATAAATAATTTCCGTTTGTTGCCAACTGTTTTGAAACGATTGTAACTTGTTTCAAGTTTGACGCAATAAATTGTGTTATATGTCATTCGATCGAGAAAACGGTAGACTTTTTGATAATATGCAATTTATTGTCTTTCCAATTTTATCTTGAAATAATAAGGGTAAAATGGATGATGAAAAAAATGCATATTCGGCAGTGCATTTTGTAGGAGTTCCAGCAAGGCTCAAATGCAATGGAGACAGTGAGGAAGATATGCACCTTCTTTGGAGAGGACACCATCACCAATCACCAGTGCAGGAATTGATTCACAAAGTTTCGGTCAAGAGAATTATTGCTCAAGGATGAACCACGTCCTGGTCACCAAGACAATAAATTGCATATTATCAAAAAGTCTACAGTTTTCTCGATCGAATGACATGTAACACAATTTATTGCATCAAACTTGAAACAAGTTACAATCGTTTCAAAACAGTTGGCAACAAACGGAAATTATTTATGAATTAACCTGTGTGAAATAGACCCTGGTCAAAGTTAAGTCTCAATAAGTGGGTGTCAAACCCTCAAAACCCCTCTTTTTGGTTACACTATTGTTCATATCTGTCTAATCCTCTTTTATAGGTTTTTATTATAGCTTTTGTCTCCTTGGTGGGGTCCCCCATAGCTTGTTCCCTTCTGCCCAGTCCATATGCAAATCTAGCCCTGATTACTACTTGTTTTTATGAGAGAATTGAGCATGGCATTGTTCATTACTCAGTCAGTCATTTGGAGGGCTTTTTGATGTTTTCCCCATGTATCTGCACTATAGTGGTAAGGTGACTTTGAGCCAGAAGCCAAGGAAAGGAAAAGGAAAGAAGCTAGTGGTGGAACTGGAGCCCCTTTCTCCTACTTTGAAGCTGGATTCCCCTTTAAAGAAAGAGGAAGACCCTCTGCAGGTGCTAGTGGATGAGAAGAAGCAATGTCCAGCCTGTTCTTCATATGTTCTTCTATCTTCCTTCCGAGATCATCGTGCTGAATGCCTGCAGAAATTCACTCGAGTTGAACGACTCTCTAATTCTGTCTCCTCCTCCTGTAGGCCTGCTGGTATGTATATTTTATAGGTAACTTCAGGTCTGCAGTGATAGATCTATTGTGCTTTTAATGGGATTTTGGTTTTTTTGGGGGGGGAGTACTGATTTGATCTATTTCAAATTCTGTTTGTCTTTATTTTGCCTGAGATGGTTATTTTTGCATTCAGGTGATTCTTGTTCCTGTGTGAGTGGATTTGTGATGAATGTAATTAGAATCATTAATTATGATTGTAACTCGTGCAGTGCTAATTTCAAACCAAGAGAGATGAACATGATGTGGCAAAGTGATATGAAAAGTTCAGATAATTTTTTATTTAAAAAAAAAAGCATTTAAGATTGGTTTAATTTTTAACATCAAGAGAGCATATTGTATATGACTATGCAATTTTCCCATCTCATATCATGCATTCTCCCCTGGGCTTGAGCCAGTTTGTCAATATTAAATAAATATTTCTCTTCTGCAGAATTTGTGGACAATCCAGGAAAGGCAAGTGAGGATCTGAGAAAGGAACTGGCACAAGAGCCTTCTGATACTGAGGGAAATGGAGTGCCCTTATTGGAGTGTCCTTTATGTAGGCAGACATTCTTTTCCTCAACATCCTGCTGCATACACATCAAGAAGTGTGGTGCCCGGAGGGGACTGAGCAGTGAGCAGGTGCTGGCAGCAGTTAAACTGCACAAAAAGCAGGCACTAGAGAGGAAGGCTCTGGGTCTTCCCATCAAACTCACCCAAAAGTCCAAGAAGCCAATGCGTGAGAGGTGTGGAAGAGGGCAGCCCCAAAGAGTGAGTGAAAGAGCTAAGGAGTGAATAGTTTTATAAATTCTTGTAATGGGATACTCAGGTTTGTTACAAGCATTTTTTTTTTTTTTCAAAAGGTGAGGAATAAAGGTTTGGTGAGCATGGAACCAGATCTGGAGACAGCGATTGCTTTGTCTGCCTCACTCCATGAAGAGGAGACTAGGAATAAAGAAAAGGAACAGGTGCTTCTTGCAAATGGCTATGATGAAGTTGCAATTGAAGGAATAGATGTTGATATGAAGTGCCTGTCAGAGGCAGAAGTCAACAAGCCAGTTGCTGCTAGAGGGAGGCCTCGCAAGAATAAATTCAGAGGAGGCCTTTTTGCACTATCACTCACTTCAGACGAAGAGAGGAAGTTGAAGACTAGTGAAAGGGCTACGCAGATACTCATGGAAATGGTGGAGGCCTGTGACAGGAAAGTCCATGAATGGCATGGAGTAGACATTCCATCTACTCCACTGTTTGGCCTAAAGCCTTCATCTTTCCATCAGGTTGGCTTTCTTATTCTCATTCAAGTGAGACTTTTCCCTAAAGAAGAAAGATATTTATTATGTATGAGGGGGTCCTGTATTTTTTTCTCTAGAACCCAGGGGTGATTTGGTCAAGAGCAGCTCTCAATTGCAACACTGAAGATTTATATGTTCCATCTCTCCTCAATTTCATCCAGAAAAAATCTGTGCTTTTGGGACAAGCTGAGAGACAAAATATCAAGATCCCAGGACGGAAGTCTACTCTTCTGTCTCAGGTATGTCTTCCACGTGTATCTTTTGCCTACTTCTAGGGAAACATGTAGGCCTGGCGAGATCCTCACAGGGGTCTAGTTGACAAGAATATGGTATTTATTGGTAGTCTTTTAGGGAGTGTTGGTCATTGCACCAAATCAGGTTTATTACCAGGTTCCCTGAATAAGGTTGAACATTATGGAACCTGGTAGATTGGTTTGTGCATGCATACCTCCTTTCAAAATGAAGTTTGTTTCTAGGTTTCTGTGTCAGACTCTGCTTAGAAGCTGTTCTGCCTGATCTCCAGTATAATCTGCCTTTAGGAGAGGCATTATGTCCATGTGACTTTCCTTGCTTTTGATGCTGTATCCCTAAACTCTGGGTGATGAAAGAGGAATATGGGAGTTCTTTACCAATTATTGGTTTCTTCTTTGTTGCTTGAAAGAGCCAAATGTCAAAGTCAATGCCAAAGGGGTATTTTCCATATCTAATGAAGTCATTGACCATGCATGGCAGCCAAGTTCCACTTCATTGAGACTTTTATTAAAATAGCAAACATATACATATGAGGAAAGGACCCACTGGATATTCTGTATTGTCAGAAAAATGTATAGATATTTTGGCAATTTTCTCAGGCTTGCATATCTGCAGTATTAGACCACATGCATCCCTTTTTGGATTGTGTTCACCACAATCTTGTGCCATTCTGTCTTTCCTTCATGAGGAATATTGTTTATATAGCTGCCTCTGAGTGAAATAGCAGAAAAGCTCTGTTCTGCCAGGCATGCCATCATTTGATTATTACTCTTGAGCATTAGTCTTCAGTTACTTCTAATTTCTCTGGCGTTGACCTTCAACCATACATCTGTGTGAATCCCTCACATTATCATTCACCTTCTCATGTGCTGGATTTTTCCTCCTGAAGTTTTTCATATTGCCATCTTATGAAATGGAATTGCAAAATTGCACATTGGATGTACTATTATATAGAATTTCTAGGCATGAGAAGGGAAGGTAGAGTATTGAAGTCCCTCTTGAATTCCAGCATACACATATCAAAGTATTATCTGATATACAGAACACCAGGTTCTACAAAGTAGTCTTGATTTGGATCTTTAAATGCTCTGATAAGTTGGTAGCAAACTTTCAGTATGTCGTTTTCTTAGAATGATATTTGCTACTTTAACCATTCAGTGGCTTGCCTGAGGTCAGCTTGTTTGTACCAGGGAATAGTTCTATAGCAGTGGCTCATGTGAATTCAATGCATGAAGGATGCTTGTGTTTATTCTGAGTGTTACTGCCATTTGTGGACTCATGGGAAATGGAAAAATGGAAGTCTTACTGCTATTTTGTGGCAGCAGTTTATTGACAGGGCCTAACTAGGCATGAAAGTTGGTATTGGGCTTATAATGGACTGAATTTCATAATATCTTCTATTGAGATTTCAGTTCAATTTTAGAAGTATTCCTGAGTTTTCAGATATTTCAGATGGAAGTAGCAGTGATAAAGACTTTGTGTTGGATGCAGCTGATACTTCAGGGAGTGCAGAATCAGAATTTGATGCTAAGGAAAAAAGTGGAATTGGGAAAGAATACAGTTGAAGTAAAAAGGGGTGGGAGTGACTGAAAGGGTTAATCCCTCTCATGGAAATTGGTTTTGACAGCTTATGATGTGGCAATCCAAGTAAACCAATAGTGTACAAGGGAGGAATGACCCTAATAGGTGTCACCTGTCACCAATATATTTGTATATTGGAGGTCTAACTGGGTAAAGTTGTTTTTACCCATGGTAATTTGAATTCAGTTGAGGTGCACTCCCTCTCACTGCCTATTAATTTAACTTAAAAATATTAAAATTGAGTGGAAAAGTGACTTGGTCTTGTTCCTGACTGTACTGTAGGTATGAAAAGTGTATAATTTTTTAATGAGATATATTCTTTCGACAGCATCTGCAGATGAGGGGCAAGGGAGAGAATGCTGATGGAGCTGAAGATGTTCAGCTTGGAAGTGCAGATGAACAAGAGGACAAACAGTGTGAAATTGCAGATGAAGAGAACTTACAGCTTAGAAGTGCAGATGAGGAAAATGATGATGTTGAACCATCGCTAGGGAAGATCCATGAAGAGGAAATGAAAGGCATCAACCTATCCACTCAATATATATTGGCACACTTGGATGCTCCTGTCAGTCAGGTGATGCTGACACAAGAGCATGACGATGTTGAGAGGGACACTCCATCACAAAATAGAGAAGCTTCAGACACCTCCAGCAAGAATTCAAGTCATGAACTTGTATTGAACAACCCTCACTTCTCTTCCCAAATGTTAAATCTCCTCCATTTTCCTGAATTCAAGGATGTTAATTTTACTACACGTGATGGGGAAGTTGGTGCCTGTGAAGCAGTCATTTGGGCACAATCTCAACAACTTTGGACTGAAATTCAACAAATGAAGGGAACAAAGACTAAAAAAATCTGTTGCTTGGAGAAATACAGTTCCAGGAGTGTCATGTTGTTTTTTGAGTACCTTTACACAGGGAAACTTAGTGCTGTGGGTGAACGGGAACAAGTTCAGTCTGAAGTGGCAGAAATTGTAGATCTATATCAAGTTGGAAAGCAAGAAAACAGTTGCCTAGAGGCAGCTGCATCCATCACCTCTCAGGTCACCGCTTCTAGGAGCCTTAGTCCTGATCTCTTTGAAGACAGCAAAAGTGTGTCTCCAGTGCAAGTAACGTATCAGGAAAATGAGCAGGAGCAGCTTGGTTCTCCATCCATGGAGATCACTATGGTTCCTTGCAATGTGAAGGCAACCCTTGTTGCAGACCAGATTGAAAGGCATTCATCTCCTAACAGAAGATCCCTGGATATGGAAATTCCAGTGCTGAACTCACCTCCAAAAACTGGAATTTCTGACAAGAACCATTCTCCTGCACAGAAGGAGCAGAAGTCATGGGCTGATAATCAAATTGATACAGAATCATTTGTACTGGAACTGTGTTCCCCAATGTCCAAGAACAAATGTAATTGTTCATCATGTCACAACCAGACTGTTGATGGCAGTGACAGCTGGGAAAACTCAAGAACTTGTGCTCATGGGGTGAAGAGGAGCCTTCAGTTTGACAATACCTGCCATATCATTCATCCTGGCTCATCTGAAAAATTTCATGATTTTCATAATTCTTCAATTTCAAGTGAGGTTCCTGATTTGGAAGCCTCAAATGTCCTGAAAAGGCCTTTTGTTGGAAGTACTCCTTTTTCTCCCAAGACTGCTGAGAAGGTAGAACTAGAAATGCATTCCCACAAGATTGGGAAACGAGAGTCAGTGAGTCCACAATTGCCTCCAAGGAAGAAATCTTGTCATTCTTCATCCAGTGTATCATCTAATATCTGTTTTGGAGAAGTGCTTCGGGAAGCCTCATTAGATGACAGTGTCCTTGTTCTTTCTAGTCCCTCTGTCATTGGTGATGATTCTGAAAATTTTATGTCCTTATCTCAACCAGATATTCCCTCAACTGCCCCCATTTTCAAAGAGTTGGCTCGACACCCATCCACCCCCACTTTTACTTGTTTGACTCAACACCCATCCATGCCCATGGCATCTCCAAAAGCATCCAAATGTCAAACTAGTCCATTGCTTGACAATGCATTTGATATGACCCCACTCCCTCTCAGGCAGAGAATTGAGAGGAAGCTCTCTCGGACATCCATTGCCTCTCCACCTAAAGCAAGTTCTCCCAGTAAGAGGCCTTGTAATTCTGTGGTGAATGACACAGATACAGATAGGGTATTTAAAGACTTGGGAATAGATGAAAGCTTCATTTGGGCAGAGGAGAATGCTCCAGAATTACCTCATGAAACTCCACAGCCAAAATCATGCAACCGGAGCCAGATGACTAGTAATGTCACTCCAACTCCTGATTTTAGAAAGATGGATACTCCTGCACTCCAGGTGATTCATCTTCACTACAGATGACTATAGCTGAGAGGCTGAGATTTTTTCTGATTCATCCCTTGTGTAATAGTGAACTATAAACCTTTCAGAAGGAGCTACGGCGATTTGGAGTTCGTCAGTTGAGTAAGCAACAGGCTGTGAAACTTCTTCAGTACATTTATGAAGAAACTCATCCTGTTGCCCATGTTGAACCTGTTCCATCTACATCCTGTGCCCCCACACAGCAGTAAGCCATTCAAGGGTGCCTGAAAGATTTGGTCATAAGGACTCGTCTAATGTGTTGTTCTCCATCCTCTTTTACTTGTCTTTTAGTAAGGCTAAAGACGAAGATGACAAAGATGTTCTGGATTCTGAAGAGGAGGATGCAGATTCTGAGGAAATCCCTGAAGAAAGCATGCTTGTATTTGCTGACTCTCCTGTGAAAAATCAGTCTAAGTCTACAAAGAGTGAGTTGCCTAACCATACATCAAGTGCCCCCTCAATGAGATGCTAAAATCATGCACGAGTGTGCTTTTCATTGAAAAAAGCATTGAGGTTATTATGGGCTCTCTGTTTATGCTCAAATTAGACCTCTTTCATGTGACAAGGGAAAAAAATATTGGCCCAGATGAAGTTATCTATCAATTTTTTATTTTTCACTGCCCACAGGTGGGGAAAGGAATATATTTAAGAAATCAAATTTTTTTCTTTGCATTTTCGGTGTAGAGACTCCAGATGAACTGAAGGAGGAGGTGAGGGTTTATTTTCTGAAGACCCCAGATCTTCTGAGGAAGGCTTTGCTGTATGAGCCCATCTGGATAGAGACACTACGTGCTGACCTGAAACAGGCAGGCATTAAAATCTCCATTGAATTTCTCATGGACTTCCTTGATGAACAGGTGAGCCTGCCCCACTTTCTATTTCTTCTCAGGACTTCTGATGAAATAGTTTTTTTTTTCATGCCAGTAGGATTTGGAATTCATATCTAGTTTGTGCCAGTTTCACTTCCAGCTTTTTCTGCTTTTCCTTACTTATGGTGATGCCAACCTAATGTGGAGTTCTATTTTCAGTCAGGAAGTAGAAATCAAAATTGGGAGTTGGGTTTTGTGTTCGTTTTGTTTATTAGCAACATCAATCAGATTTTCTTTTTCAATAATTATGTGTGACATGCAGATTCTTGACATATAAAATCACCTTTTATCAGTGATATGGTATAATGCTTTTTTTTTTATTGGTTGCCATTAAGCTTAGACAGAAGGGATCACTTTTGAATGTGTCATTCCCCATATTTTATGTTTGCCCAACTGCACATGTTTTTTCAACGAAGGTGTTTTATTTCAACAATTAAAATTTTTTAAGAACAAGAATGAATGACAATTTGTTTTAGTCCTTCTTTCCCTATTCCCTTCCTTCCTGAAACTGATTTTGGATAAGCAAAAGATTCCTGGAGGTTCTATTTCTTTCGATGTGTTACCCTTTATTTGATGGTGTTTCTCATTAGCCATGACAATGGTATTTCAACTCGTACTTCATGTGACTTTCTCTTTTTTTTTAAGTGCATTACGTTTAGGACGAAGCAGGGGTACTGCATACATAGTCGAAGAAACCAGAACTCCCCAAAGGCAAAACGGAAAAAGAGTGGTGCACTTTCCTCCTAAGATCCCATTTTAGCTATGCAATGATTATGTGGAAACATTTTTGGAAAACGAATAAAAATGAGTTTTTTACTTGGACGTTCTCATGATTTCTGTATGGTTCGACTATCAATCTCTGCTTTGAGCTCAGCATATAGGAGGTTTTTTAAAATTATTATCAGGGTTTATTTATCTCATTCGCTTTGTCAGGTTCAGTCGAGAAACTACTGTAAAAAAAGTGAACTTATGCTTCAACCGTGAGGCATTCTCAATTAATTATGGATCTGCCATTTAACACTACTGAATATGGAAGGAGACGACACAACTCAGAAATTCTTATCCATTCTGGAATATGCTCCATCATTGTGTTTGAAGTGAATGTATGACATTTCCTTTTTTGTTAAGTTCTGCTCCATCCAAGTTCTATGCAGAGTAATGGTCTCCACCAATCTTGGCAGAGGTCCTTAAATTCATCAGCAATTTTTGTGCGATCTTAACATCTGGTGGATCAGACAGATATCTTTACTGCCACGTTTTAATTAGTGTAGGGTGAAACCACCAATGTTAAGCCAGGATATGATTGTAATTCCCTCGTCACGTCTTAGTGGTACAACCCAGATACTTCATATTTTGCCTCCGACAGCACAATACGAGTAGTTGTGAGTGTAATAAAGATCATCACCATCGAAGCCTTACAGCTTCTAATAACTCCGATTACGCGGGTGTCCGAACTTAGATGCGAAAAAATGAAGTCCAAAACAACGTAGTTTGGACACACCAGAAGTATGGCAGAAATTTGCTCATGGCATGCATATTCTCATAGCAGTACTCTACGTTCCCTAGTTTTCTGTGGAATAAGAATTAATCACAGAATTAACAATACCGCGTGGGAAGCGTTTCTCAAGTATGGTCTTTTCCGTATATTTTCTTCCAATTTCTCCTGCCTGCGACATGACATTCATTTCTTCCCGAATTTTCGAAATCGTGCTCAACGATCGTGGCCATTGTAAGTCTTTCATTTAGTAACATTGTCATCTTGGGTTAAGAAGAACTCTCCCTGATGTCAATCTCTCGAATGCGTATTTATTAACAATAAACATTAGTGTCCGATCCTAGTTGGTTTTAACCTAGGCTTATGCTCATCATGCACTTCCTTTCATGAAAGAGTGGATCGACTGCCCCAAGATTTTTATTATTTATACTTAGTATATTCTATCGCACATGTGCGTTATCACTATGTACAGTACTTGTTATTTGTTATTGTTATTGTTATTGTACTCTTGTTATTTTCGTGGCAAATTCACTTCTAATGATGAAATTTTGAAGGGGCTTTTCCTGCGCCTGAGTTTTACTTGGAGTGAACTCCCCTTTATTTGTGATAATATCTGCATGCCTCAATCGAATGAGCTTGCTCTTACCGTAATAGATAAATTAGAATATGACTTACGTCTGGTTCCTTCATCCGCCTTGATTGTGATTAGGGGTGATTTTAATTGTACTTTGGCTCTTAATTATGATAGAGCCAACAGTTGTGACTATTGGCAAGCCCTGCTAGCCCGACTCCATTACTTTATTCACTCTCACTTTCTCACGGATGTTAGGCGAGATTTTCACAAGAATGAACGGGAATTCATCACAGGATCTCATCAACAACGACCACGTGCACGTCTTGACCGTTTCTATGCAAATGACCATTTTCCTTGCGCGGGTTAAGAGAACCAGCATTATTCCTTGTGCACCACTCTCAGACCACAATGTAACTCGAACATAGGTTGAACGTCTTCTTGAACGCTCTTGTGTTACTTGGGAGCATGAGTCAGTCATGCAGGCAATCATGAGCTCTTTGTAATAATCCCTCAATTCTGTTCTCTAACCAATTAAAAAATGCTGAACCACTCACGCCAGGCAGAAAGTCGCATACCATCTCTTTTTAAATCTTAAAAAAAAAATGAAGTCCTCTGGCTGTCGACTCAGCACACCTTTTTAGCCATAGACTTCATGCACATTTCATTGAGTTTTTTATATACAGCTCTCCATAGATGAGTGATACTCTTTCGACAGCATTAAGGAAGATCATTAAACTTGCATGATTAATGAGAGATTAAACAAAATTTACTCGGAATTCCAGTCTACGTTTCATGTAAGCATAGCCGAATATATTATAAAGGTCTTGAATTCTAGGAAAGTTACGATAGTCTGGTAACCTTCTAGTAACTTCTACATACATGGGTCCAGAAGGTGATGAGCCCATGATTACTTGTAAGTACTGGTTATCTTAAAACTCACTTCTCTATAAAATGCCACACGAAAGTTCTATGTGAAAGAGTGTACCAAAGGAAAATGCATTTCGTTGTCTGCCTGATTTTATGTACGTAGTATAATTCCGTTTGTCTGTTCGTGAAGACATTAGCTACCCAGTTGCTCATTCAGCGGATAAATTTCGGGGGTGCATTCCATTAATCAAAAAACATTGAAGGGAAGTTACGAAATGGATGGAGCTCCTCAATATATTGAAATATACCGCTCGTAACTCGTGGCTAACTTTGGAGTACTCATAAAGATGTGAACGCACGTCACACCTGTGGTTTCTCTCATCCTTTTGCGGCAATGAAGCGACATGGATCATCATTGCCGTTTAATTTTTGGGAACTCGATTTCCAGCGCGAATTCCTGCCACCGATCTTCGAATTCCTGTTTTTCATGGGCAGGAATGGTGAAATGCTGAACTGCAGGAAGCAAATGCCGGCAAGGATCTTTCTCTTTGACCGATGATGCGTATCATCAGAGCGATCGGGGTGAGTCGCCGAATCGAAAAAAAAACCCATCCTATCGGTCCCGATGAGATCAGCAAATCAGCTCACCCTGTACTACTCTTTTTCGCGCAATTACAACGAGCGAAATGGAAGCAAAAAAATTTACCGTTAAAAAGGCTGAAGAAAAAAATGTACCCCAAGAGTGTACTCCAAAAGGTGCTTTTTTTGTAACCTGAGAATAACTTGTGCATGAATATTCTATTTGCTCCAAACTGGAAATACCTAGAATTATCGTCTGCTGTTTGCTCACTCACTCGCGACAGTATATCCTGAACAGGATATCCATAAAGTCCCAATCTATTTTCATGAAAAACAATGAATTTCCTTTACATTTCAGGTTCAACTATTGAATGGATGAATTTAAATCACTTAAGCATTGTTTCATCACAAGTCCATCTCCACATGTCCATCTCATACCTCGGCATAACCCAACGTTATTGTAACCCGTTCAGTGGGTAACCATGAACGCGTTAGGGCAACATTCCAGGTGTTAGGGATTAAACTGAAGCGTAAATTTGGGTTGTACGATCCTTCAAGCGGTGAACATTGCTTCCGTAAAACTGCAACTTGGCGAATCCCCACAAAAAAAGTCCTTGGGTGTCAGTTCCAGCGACAGTGGCGCCAATGGCTTCTCCCAATCTCAGCCCATCCACCGTTCAGAAAACCGAATTTTATCTCTTTGACAGTCAGCATAGTGCGTTATTCAGATATGTCCACCTTTTCAATGTTGCAGAACTGGTTTGTCGAGTAAAACTGAAATTTAAATTAAATGTATCGTTTTTCATCATAAAATATAATTTAGTACTTCTTGATATAACAATGCTTAAGTTATTCAAATTCATCCATTTCAATAATTGAACTTAAAATGTAAAGGAAAGTCATTGTTTTTCATAAAAATAGGTTTGACCTTTATGGACACCCTGTATATCAGAATGAAAGCTCGACATAAATGTGAGACGCCATATTAAGCGAGGAATCTCATCGAATGCTTTTCCCGATCCTTAAATGAGGCGAATTCAGCAAAAAACTATTCCACCTCGCCATAGGGTTGAAGAAAAACCCAACATCATGCGGAAACTAACTAAACCTCATACATAGTTTCCCATAACGTCAGAAGATTTTGCAAGTAGTGAGACAGCAGATCTATCCGAAAATCTCGGAGGTAGGAAAAAGAAAAACGACGAAGAATGACTTTCCCTTGGACCTCTAAACTTGACCTGCACGTCTTCCGAGTGCGTCAACCATGACAAAATTGCACCGGATCACGAAGTGACTCACCGCCCTCAGCGAAAACAGATGGAATGCGAAACCGAACAAGACGTTTGAGAAATGCGCATCGCCTTGCAGCAAGCTGCGACCTCAACATACGATCGTCACTGCGAACTAGCCAATCGCACATGCGGCATTCACCCTCCCATAAGAGATTCCCCGTGATTCCAATGGTCTCGGCAATCAAAGTTGTTAGTGAAAAGGGGAGGAGCCTGGTCAGAGGGGAATGAGAATGCACCCTTTCTTGAAAATCTTTTAAAATCAAATTAGAGTAGATTTCGAAGACTGGAATATTTTTCGGTTTATTTCGCAGAAACACAGATAATGAGAATAAATCATTGCTCCTGTTTTGACTCGCATGATGCAGATAGAGGCTATTCGTTATAATAATTAATAAAACTCCTAATTTGGCATGTCATCAGAGAAAAAACGCTCCCTTTTCTTCCATACTGACAAAGAGACATGAGAATTTGAAATGAAAAATTTGCTTTGAATCCACGGAAGTGAAAAACATCTGGATGGCTACTCATCCAAATGGGTGTGAGGAACTACCGGTTCAGGAGCTACTACATTATTTCAAAATGTAATATGTAATCACGAAGAACTCCGTCTCTGAGTTAGTTTTCATTACGACACAGAGATGTCATTGACGAATTACATTTTAAGCAAAATGAAGCATGAAATGAAGACGAACGAAACCTGCAGAAAACAAGTGCCGGCACCACACAAGGGCATCAAGTGTGAAAGGCAACATCATGTGCAATACAGTCGGGTCATCATTGAATGAAATCGCTGTAAGGGACTCCGGCAGAAGTGCCCCCAGTCAACAGCTTTCTCCGAAAGATCGCGGAACTGTTCTCGAACGCTGTTGTCCCGCCGACAGACTGAATGCCGACTTTCTCCTCCACGTTATGGGGGGAAGGCTCATTTTCTTTCAGAGAAGAGGGTGGCTTTCTGTAAGTCTTGCGGAAGAAATCCACGAACAAGACGAAGTAGCTTAGATACATCAAAATTGCGCACGTCAATATCAGGTTGGACATGTTGCACTTGTGCCATTGCAGTTTCGTGACGGTCACGTATGCAAAAACCACTATGCCCAGCACCATCTGCGCGATCTTAGAAATAGTAATGAACATCATGATTCCTCGAGGCACTGACACCCCCAAGGCTCTCAAGAGGTAATAGGAATACATGAGGGTGTGCACCGCAGCGTTCATCAAACAGAACCAGGATCCAGCTTCCTCCACTCTGGCGGTGTTGAATCACGTGAAGAGGAGGATGCTTGCGTGGTGGTACCAGTGGAGGAAGATCAGCTTCTGCTTCCGGAGGAGAATGAAGTTGGTGTCGCCGAATTCCAGGATCTTGGAGTAGGAGAAGGTAACAGTCCTTAAATAGGCAGTTGGGTTCTTGGGTTCTTCCACAATCCTGAAAAATGATGACGAATATGAGTTTATTCATGAAAAGTGGATTAAGACTGTGAATAAGCCCTGATACAAGCGATCATTGATAAATGAATTGATGAGCTCATTCAAGGTAGAAATGTAAAGAAAATAAGACCATGGGATAAATCAACATGAGAGAAACAAAGTGATAAACAAGTGTAACGAATCTGAATCCACTTGAAAAAGATGTGAACGCCTCATTCGCGTTCTCGCTATTAACTGAACTCATTGATCCGTGATTTGAAATTGAATATAAAAATGATGTCTTTGCGCAAGTTTATTCGAGGAACCCACCCGATGGCGCAGGTGCTAAAGCCGAATCCTAAGTGACTTGCGACGTAAAGGACGGCGACCCCGATCCTCACCGTGACGGTGAGGCTGAAGAGGGGCAAGAACATGTTCCACGCCCCCAGCGCCTTCCTTAGTGAGAAGGCTGCTCTTAGTTTCATGTATGTTTCCAAGGCTTAAATGCTTGCGGCGTAAGCAACGACGGCGAGCCAAGGCAAGTAGTTCATGGCATTTATGAACTCTGACAATTCGGCGACCGCGAAGCGTGTCTCCCAAGGCTGCAGGGCCAAATGGGGTGGAGGGTGGCTCAGTCGGCGGGCCGAAGAGGTCAGAGTCTTCGAGCTCATTTTCAGAGTTGCCTGAGGACCAAACGCAAAGGAACATTTTTTCACTTCATTCGCAATGGTTGGAGTAGTGCACTGTTCAGAATCCATGAAAACCTAGAAGAGAAATACTCATGTCTCAAGTTTCCGTTACGTATTATAAGCACATGAAAGCGACTGGAGACATATAGCCCTTATTTGATAATGGGCGGTAATGGGCAGCTAATTATTTCATGTTTTGCCTCCGTACAGCACACCATATCGGATTGCCGTACGTTGCAGCGAGGAGAGATTTTCATTTGCCATGTACTATCTACTGTGGTAGTTGGCTTGTGATCGTCAATTTTCAATTTTGAACTGAAGATAATCTTAATAGTACACTTGTTCGTGGAAACTTTGAAACACGTGGACTTTGCTCGTACAATAACGGAATTGGAAGTTCTTAACCGGAATGCAAGAATTGTCATGCCAGCACTTACTACTTCTAAAAAGTTTTTATATTTAGGAATTTCAACTCGTGAGGCCTATGAAAACAAATCTAGAGCAGCGAGCGCAGAAAGACTCTCTTTCCTCCTAGACGCATATTCATCTTAAAAATGAGGAATGCAAAATCATATCCTACTTATGCTTTGTAATTTCCATTTTTTCTCATTTTTTTTCCCGTGTTTGATCCTTATTATTAGTCATTTGGTTGTGCATGTAATATATTGTGAGAAATCCTCCAGTTTGAAGTATCTTTGGTTTGGAAGTTTTTTTGTTCATTTAGAAATGACCAGTATGCTTGATTATGTATAATATTTTTGAAATATTCAATATTATTAATGATTTAAGTTAATTTAGTGGTTTAACGTTATTTATCGTTATACTAATGTGAGGCATATTATGTTTATATATACAGTATATAAACAGAGTGTCTCAAAAATGTATACATACTCGAGTCAAGAGTATATATTACATAATTCAGATAGGGGCGATGTTTAATATGACAGGTACAGTACCTAACAGATGACAATGTGTAATGGAATGATCGCGTGTCATCAATCAATTTTTTCCCACGAGACAGTGTGTCACACCAGATGACGCAAGCTCACTTGACCTTAGAGCAGTGGTTCTCAACCTGGGAGGTGTCACCCCCCCGAATGCATGAAGGTTCAATGGGAGTAAAAGGAAGGTTGAGAACCACTGCCTTTGAGCTTTGTAAGTTGATTTTGAAGTGATTCTGGAAATCTGAGAACACATGTGAAGTGCAAAGAAAGTGGAGAAATGAACTTGCAACTATGCCATTATGATGTATTAGAACTTTCAAGAATTCATGATAAGTTTGATGCCGATGGTACAGTGCATGGTCTCGCAGAACATTGCTTGTACGGTAATGCACAATGTTCTGATATACCTCACACATCAACATGTGGGGAAAATGCTGCTGTTGCATTGCAAGCATTCACACGAGCGCATGAAAATGAGGAGCCCTGCGCTGCTTTTCCAGGAGGTACCTGTCCACAAGTTTGTTGCACTGTTGCTCACTGCTGTCAACAGTGCCTGGATGCTAACGGTGAACAATTTGAACATCTGTGGTAGTGAACCATGCAATTCAAACCCTTGCTTCTACACACACTGAAGATTGTACCTCTCTGAATTACTTAACATATATTTTTCATTATTAAAGTGTGCATACATTTTTTGAGACACTCTGTATATACAGTATATGTGTATATAAATAATAAATATAAATAAATCCTTCCACGGCAACTGCCGGTATTGGAGATATGAGGGGGGATGAACCACATCCTAGACCTCATAATCGCCTAATTCTGAAGGACACGGCGAAGGATGCTGGCCGTGCCCAAACAAGACTTTCGACTCCATACTGTACGCTGGAGGATATCGAGTGAGATTTCACACTCCAGCTTCCTGACATGTCCCTTGAGGTCTTTCAGGACGACGCCGGTTGTGCCGATGATGATCGGAACGATGGTGGTCTTCATTCCGCACAACTGTTCTACTTCCACTTTCATTTCGGAGTATTTCTCCAGCTTCTCCCTGGTGTTCTCTTGGAGGTTGTTATCGGCTGGGATGCTCGCATCTACGAGAAGGGCGGTCTTCTCCTTCTTATAGATCGTAAGGTCCGATTCATTACAGCCTATGGGGCGGTCCGTAATTATGGGCATGTTCCAGAGTACCTTGGTGGAGGAGTTCTTCGCTACAGACTGTGGCTGGTGGTCGTACTAACTCTCTGGGACTTCCAGGCCGGCTTGCTTTGAGACACACCAGTGTACATATTTGAAAACCTGGTCGTGCCTGTGCAAGTATTCCCTCGGGGCTAATTCGGAGCAGACACTAAGGAGGTGGTGAACAGTTTCGGGTGGTCCATGACAGCATCTGCGGCGATCTTCCACATCCAGCTTCAGGATGTGCTTCTCGTAGTTACGAGTTCTAATGGACTGGTCCCGAATGGCTAGGATGTTGCTCTTTGTCTCGGCATTCAACAGTCCCTTCTTCAGCCAGTTATAGCTGACGTCCGAGTCGATCGATGTTTTATCCATGATCTTGGGATGCTGAAGCGGTTTCTCCTTCCATCGAGCCTCTGTCTTTGGTCTGCCGTCTTCACATCCGTCGTGTCGCAGTCGTTATCGAGATGGAATGCGTTTCGGAAGCGGCTAGCATTTCCCTGGATGGAGTGGGATTTCTTTAGGGCATCGCGCTCTCTCAGGATGGAAATGAGTCTTCTCTGCTTCCTTTCGATGAACCTGGCGACTTCGCACGTCGTCCGCTTATATAGGGACTCGAGTTCGATGAGTCCCCTCCCTCCCTTGCTTCTCGGAAGGTAGAGTCTTTCAACGGCAGCCTTCGGATAGTGGGTGTGATGCGTGGTCAGGAGTTTTCTGGTCGCTCGATCGATGGTCTGGAGTTCCGTAGGTGACCTCTGAGATAACTCTGAAGCTGTAGTTGAGGACAGGGGTGGCGAGACTGTTGAGGGCAGCGAATTTATTTTTGCCAGACAGCTCAGTCTTCAGAACGAGGTAGACTCTGCGTTTATATTCAGTTGTCAGTCTCTGCTTCGTGCGCTTGACAGCCACGGAGGAGTTCTCTTCCACACCGAGGTATTTATAGGTGTCAGGGGCCGTAAGCTCTCGGAGTTGTTCGTCGTTTGTGGTGGTGATATCTCCCATATGGGTGAGGATTCCGCGGTGGATAGAGAGCTTCGCGCATTTGTCGAGTCCGAATTTCATGCAGATGTCTTTCGAGAAGATGCTGACGACGTTGAGTAGGCTTTCGACCTGTTTCTCGTTGGAGGCGTAGAGTTTCAGGTCGTCCATATAGAGAAGGTGATTCATGCAATGGTCTGCATTCTTCCCCTTTCCTACGTAATAGCCGCATTCAGTCCGAGACAATGCGATACTGAGTGGATTGAGAGCCAGACATAAGAGGAGAGGAAACAGCGTGTCTCCCTGGAAGATCCCTGGAAGGCGGTTGATGGAAATCTCGCGGGCTGTCAGGGTGGGGTCTATTCCATTTAAGGACATGACTGTCTTCCAGCGGGACATGATCTGTTGTAGGAAGTTGACCACCACAGGGTTGATCTTGTACATCCTAAGGCACTCGATGATCCATGAGTGAGGCACCGAGTCGTATGCCTTCTGGTGGTCGATCCATGCTATCGAGAGGTTCTTCCTGATTCTGGCATCTTCCATGACATGGTTGAGGAAGAGCTGTTCCTTGCAGCCGTATGATCCTTTCCGACAACCCTTTTGTTCTTCCGACATGATGTTGTTGTCATAGATGTGTCGTTCGATTCGTGCTGCTAGGATGGAAGACAGCACTTCGTAGACGGTTGGCAGGCAGGTGATGGGCCTGTAATTCCGAGGTAGCTCGGTTTCGGTGTTTTTTGGGAGTAGGTAGGTGACTCCTTCGGTGAGCCAATCCGGCATCTCCGAGGGGTCTGTCACTACTTTCTGCATTTCTCAGGCGAGTTGTTCATGTAGTGATATTAATTGCTTCAGCCAGAAGTTCGGAAGACGGTCGTGTCCGGGCTCTTCCAGTTCACCACAAATGCACACTCTATTAGCTAGAGAAAGCCGACGCTCATGCTGCAAGAAGGTAACCAGTGCATAGTCTCATGTGAAAATGGAATTAACGATGCTCGGGAGAGCCGGCAACCTCTAATCGACAGCTATGAAGAAATTAAGCTCTTGTGGGATTTGTGCCCGAAAGATCTATCCACAATCCATGGCTCGATAAGAATAGAGTGGTGAAAGAGAAAATTCCTGGGAGAATTCACTAGGTGAATTGTATCACGTGTTGTAATCCGAGCCTGTTGACGTAAACCAAAACCAACTGTCTTAACTTTCCCCTGATCGACAGATAATATTAATATAGGGAAAGAGAAGGCAGTTGGAGAGGGGAAGCGCAATCCACCATAAAAGGTGAAAGGCCTATGGCCATTCCCTGAGATCTGTCCTAGGCCATGGATTAACCCAGACTCAGAGGCTAGCCCTAGTCCCACATGGAAGCAGGCCATCCAGCAGACCGACTAGCGGAAAACAAAAGGTTCATTTACTAAAGAAACGCCAAACTTCTCCAAAATAATGAGCTTTCTTGAAGAGGCCAAATTGATTTTTCAAAATCCAATGTGCATAACCATTATCAGTTTATCTAGTAAAAGACCGTAGTTGAATGTGAAGTCGTCCTCGTGATTGCAAATCTGCAAGTATCTGTTTAATTGTGATTTCATGACATTATTGATAACGTGCTTAGTGATATTTGACCGATGCATTGGCATATTAGCAATTTTGAAGGAAAAGTCTCTTCTTTTGTCATAGTTGTCCACAATTTCCTATGAAATTTTTTTTAAACAATGAAATTTCCTTTGGCTGAGTATTTCCCTTTTTTGAATTTTGCTTTTTAGGATCTTTGAAATTAATCACTAGGTTTGTATGGAAATTAAAGAAAAGTAAGACAAAATGAATATCAATGAGAAAGAAAAAGTATCCAATCTCAAAGTCAGCATGAATTGCCTGATATTACCCCTCCTTTCCCTCATCTCTACCATTCCTCACCTTCTCCACACCTATTCCTCTCTGATCAAACTCTCCCCATACCCGTTCCACCCCCCTTCTACACTGATTCCTCACGCGACTTACAGCCGTTAACACGATATCCACACCATTCCACACCCGTTGCACCGTGTAGATGGGTGAGGATTTTTTAGAATGGGATATCGGCTTCGGCTGTAACCCCAATAATGGTCCAAGATGTACATTCCTTGCAGTATATATAGATTCAATATTGACGTGCTACTGGGGGAGGGACAAACATTGGAAACCAAAATTGGGCCCACATCGCAATTGTGGAGTTCCAATATAGGCTCAACGTTGACCCAACGTGGGTGTGGTGCCGTGTACATGCTTAACCTGTTATACAAGAACTTCTCCGTCTCCCTTCTACAGCTCATAAGAGAGAAGAATGTAAGAAAGTTCGGAACACTATTACTGTTTTGACTGAAGCCAATGTATGTGAATCCCAAGTCCCCTTTCTCTTTAGATAAATAGTTGAACGCTTAATAGCATCTGGGTTAAATGCAATGAAATGAAAGTCTCAATTCTCGTATCTTGTACAAATTCTCAGTATCGGTTCACTTGTTATTCTGAAATTTCATCATAAAAAAGTTAATTAAGTCGGAAAATTGGGGGGGGGGGGACAGACGGAGGATAAGTGCTTAGGATAGTGGTAATCAAATATGGATTTTTTAAAATTTGGTCGTGCTTTAAGTGGCTGAAAGGTTAGAAAATTTTGATTTTCTTTCCTAAATGCTAGATGAAAGGAACCTAACCAGTGTTGCTGCTGGAAATATTATGCATTCAATGTATTTCATTCTAAAATCTCATTTAAACATTCTCTCGAGAATCCTATGTGCAACGAAATGCCGAATCCCAATTTCGCCGAATTCAAATTTGCCTAATTGCATAGATGTAGGATGCTAGAAATGCTTAAGAGCATTTCAGGGCAGAGCAGAAACAGGGAAGAAAAGTAGACGAATGGAGAAGCAGGATGACAGGAGGAAGAAAAGAATTTCCTATCACGCTGAGATGGGGTATCGGAATGGTTTTTCGTCTTTCTTCTACTCGTACTCGTTCTCTCGAAAAATCGTGATGTTTTCCCTCCCGGGGATGACTCTCAAGAACAGCGAAATTTCCGCCAAGTCGGTTTTTGTTGAGGTCTCCTTTGTTCCGATGAATTCAATGTCATGGACGATGATTGCTCATATAGGGTTAGAACAAGCACTAGGCGGGAAAGGTTCAACATATTGGAAAGGAACTATGAATACCACAGAAAAGTGCACTTTCCTGTCTGTCTGCTTGATGCTATGTATCATTCTGTTTCTTTGTCAGTTAACGTTTTAGAAAATACACTGTTGATTATTGAGCTGTAAAATTTGTTAGATGCATTCCATGAATCAAGCAACATGAAGGGAAGTTATGAAATGGATGAAGATCCTCAGTATTTTGAAATATATCGCTCGTCACTCAAGGCTAATCTGGGGGGACCCGTGAAGATATGCAAACAAGTCACACCTGACACCTCCCTAATCCTTTATAGGCAGCGAAGCGACATAGATCCTCATTGCCGTTGAATTTATGGGAACCGGGTTTCCAGTTCGATATTCTGCCACCTATCTTCGATTTCCTCTTTCTCATGTGCAGAAATGCCAAATTAGTGAAATCCTGCACTGCAAGAAGGAAACGCCGGAAATTATTTTTTCCTTTGACCGATGATGCGTATCATCAGCGCCATTGAAACGAGTCGCTTAGTCGGAAAAAAAAAACTTCCTTTGGGTCTTGATGAGGTCAGCAAATAATTGTTATGATGATATTTGAAAGTCGGCCATGAAAGCTGGTTTATCAGATGAAAGTTTTTCCCCCATGCTCCATTGGAGAAACTAAAATATGCAGAGCAGGGCTTCCCAACCCAGGGGTCGCAAAGATTATATTTGGGGTCGCGAACCGGCAGCTAAATGCAAAGTTACGTTTTTCTTTGCGATTTTACCGCATAGGTAGGGGAGCCTGTCTAACTTCGCTCAGTGCATGGGGTCGTCAATAGTAAAAAAGGGATTTTTGGAGTCGCGCGTGAAAAAGGTTGGGAAGCCCTGATTTAGAGAGAAATACGAGAAAAAGTGGTTTATACAGATTGACCAGTATTTCGCTTCATAATAGGTGTTCAGGAAGGTTTGACCTCTCGTATTTCGTACACTTGGCGAGAGCAAGGGTGTGGGCACTTTTCCGGTTTGTCCTACCGCGTGGTAAAAAAAAAAAAAACCGTTCCGACCTTTACACGCCTGGAAACAGAATACCATATGAGTTGTCATCAGGAAGTTTACAGGGTTGCACATCCAATATTTGCAGGTCGTGTCACAAAAATGTTAAGGAATGAGTTAACAACCTAAATAACAGTTTTTCTCGCGCGCAATGTCGAAAAAGCGAGTGTGCAAAGATGCGCGACTGTCCTCAAGTGAAATAATGTTTGATGGTTTATTTTAATTGATGAGTCACCCTGCCATCGCTCTCTGAGGCAACACTTAGTACTAACGCACCGACACACTTCTTTCGTTGACAACACCTACAGAAAAAGCTCTTACTCGTGTACTGAGCAGGGAGTTTCATTGAAAATTTCCAGAAACCGGCAATACATTTTAAGACATGCTGAAATTGTCAAAACTATACTTAATGTGTTGTCCTATCTGCAGACGCATGAAGTTCGCTATATTTTCATGGGCCACCCGGTATTACGAAATTTCACAATTAAAATCTTCTGAGTTGTATGATATTTGAATGTTTTATTCATAAGCAGCCAACGCCAAACGCACAACTATGCAATATAATGATATCCATAGAAACAACTAGGATGTAATCGACTTCCCTCAATGACCTTCCTACTTATTTATAATTTTCTATGCTTGCCTAAACAGATATAAAAAACATTTGAGGTCAAGTGACTTCTGGCACAAGGAGTGACTATTTTCAAAGCATCACCTAATTCGCCTTTATCGTCTGCACAACATTTGAACCACGAACTTTGCAGAAGATGTAAGAACTAGAACGGGCAACCCCCCTTAAGGGTTCCTCACAAGGAATCCCCACATTTGCGAACACCCCCGAAGAGAAGCTGCGTGCAGATGGCAGTTTCATTATTCGGATGGAGGGCGGGAGAGGAACGCTCGCTTCCACCCAAGAATTGCACCTTAAAAATCCTTCATAATAGGATGCCCATTTTCACTCAAAAACAACAAGCACAATGGGAACAAAAAAATTAACGGTAAAAAGACTGAAGCAAAAAGTACCCCAAGGGTGTACTCCAAAAGTAACATATGCATGAATATTCTCTTTCATCAAAACTGAAAATACTGAAAAATTATTGTTCGTCGATTACTCACGCACTCACGATACTGATATATGGAAATGAAAGCTCGACATTAATGCGGGACGACAAATTTAGCAAGGAGTCTCATCGAAATAGTTTTCCTGCTACTTGAATGAGGGGAATTCAGAAAAAATTTTCTATCTCGCCAGAGTGTTTAAGAAAACCAATGACATGCGAAAACCAACGAAACCCCATTCATGGTTTTATTTTTAAGAAAAAAAAACCTGCCTGATGGGAAGACGAATGAAAGCTGCAGGAATCGAGTACCAGCACCACACAAGGGCATCACGCGTGAAAGGCAACATCATGTGATACACAGCCAGGTTATCATTGAATGAAATCGCTGTAAGTGACACCGGCGGAAGTGCCCCCAGTCAACAGCTTTCTCCGAAAGATCGCGGAACTGTTCTCGAACGCTGTTGTCCCGTCGACAGACTGAATGCGGACTTTCTCCTCGACTTTATGGGGGGAAGGGTCATTTTGTTTCCGTGTAGAGGGTGGCTTTCTGTAAGTCTTGCGGAAGAAGTCCACGAACAAGACGAAGTAGCTTAGATACATCAAAATTGCGCACGTCAATATCAGGTTGGACATGTTGCACTCGTACCCGCGCATCTTCGTGACGGTCACGTATGCACAAACTACTATGCCCAGCACCATCTGCGAGATCTGAGAAATGGTTATAAGCATCATGATTCCTCCAGGCACTGATACCCTCAAGGCTCTCAAGAGGTAATAGGAATACATGAGGGTGTGCACGGCAGCGTTCATCAAACAAAACCATGTGCCAGCCTCCTCCATTCTGGCAACGTTGAACCAAGTGAATAGGAGGACGGTTATGTGGTGATACCAGTGAAGAAAGATGAGTTTCCGTTTCCGAAGGAGAGTAAAGAAGGTGTCGCCTAATTCCAGGATCTTGGAGAACGAGAAGATAACGATCCACAAATGGCCAGTTGGGTCTTCCTCGGCTATCCTGAAAAATAATGACGATCATGAGTTTATTCCTGAAAAGTGGATTAAGTCGTACAACAATGAATGAGCCCGGATAAATGCGTTAATATATAAAGTAATTGATCAGCCTATGAGAGTAAAATTAATTCTTAAGTTGATTTGATCAATAAGAAACATGTTCATTTAAGATAGAAATGAAAGGGAAATAAGAGTTTTAAAAAATCAACCAATAATGAACAAAGTGATTTTATAATATCTGAATCAACATGAAACTGATTTTAATGGGTCTTCGCCACCCAAGCAGCGTGTTTACGTAAATAAGATATCAGTTCTTTGCAAACAATGTAAATTTCTTGCGATTACCATGAAAATGACGTTCATGTAAAATTTTCGTTCCTAGGTTTACGTCGCCAAAGTGTGCGCCTATTTTAAATAAACTAGACGTCACTCCCTCGTACGTGAAATACATATCAAGTTCGTGCAAAACATTAACATCACACCATCCATTTGAAACTTAAGGTGACCATCCCGCAGTTGCAGTACCAAGATTCCTCACTTGATGGAACTCTTGTTCCCTGCACCCTACATATGTTATTAAGTACTGGCTTTTCTGATATAGTATCAGATTTTCTTACACTCCTTCCACTTTTTACTACGCAATCCATGAATGTATATATGGTAGGGTATACATATATATATATGGAAAATATTACATATTTTAAAATAATATATGACTCAGGGAATCATTAAATGCTGAAGCTAGAGTTGTTATTACAGCAGTACACGTGAATAGGAATGAGTAGAATCGCAGCTCCACAAGTATTACTTCTACTGCTTCTCCCGAGGCTCTGGTATGGGAGAAGGAATCAGTGGGTCATCTTGGTACTCTTGAGTATTTGTGTACTCGTCCAAGTATCCTAGAGTTTCAAAGTATGGAAATGAATAGGGAAAATACAGTATATCAATTCCCTTCAATAAGACGAGCCTAATCGTTTAATAAACTTGAATGTATTGGGAAAATTAACATCAATTTTATGTAAAATGAACGTATAAAAGCTGTTGAGGATGTAAATGGGAATGTGAATTTCACATAAAATTTACGCAACATGTATATCACCGTTTCCGTATTACAGAGTTGACATTGCGTAAAGAAGTTATTAAATGGACAAAAGATCTTCATTCATTTTACGCAAAATTAACATAAACATACTGTTTGGTATGATCTGAACTCATTGATCCATGATTGGAAATCGTTCATTTAAATTATGCATCTATCATGTTATTCGAGGAACTCACCCCTTGGCGCAGGTGCTAAAGCCGAGTCCTAAGTGACTCGTGACGTGAATGACGCAAACCCCGATCCTCACCGTGACGACGAGGCTGAAGATGGCCAAGATTCCGTTCCAGGCCACCAGCGCCTTTCTCAGGGAGAAGGCCGGTCGATGCTTCATGAATCTTTTCACGGCGTAAATACTTGCGGCGTAAATAACGACAGCGAACCACGGCAGATAGTTCATGTAATTCATGAATGCCGACATCTCGGCGACCGCGAAGCGCATCTCCCAAGGCTGCAGGGCCAGATGGGGTGGCGAGTGCTTCAATAGACGGGTCGAGGAGCCCATTGTCTTCAAGCCAATTTGTATAGTTATCTAAGGACACAAAGCAAAGGTACATTTTACTCTCACTTCATCCTCATTGGTACACTGGTACTCCATGAAAATCCATGAAAACCTAGGATATAATTAACTATTTCTCAAGTGTCCGAGTTGTTCTATATTTTCTAAGCTTAAGTAAGTCACTGAAATGGAATTGCTCCAATTTTTATCATGTGCAACTAATTCATTCATGTTTTGGCACCATGTATTGCACCATATCGGCTTACCTTGCGTAGAAGAAAGGAGAGATTTCTATTTCCCCTGACGAACCTACTGCGATTGTTGGCATGAGAAATTTTATTTCCCTGTCTTATATGGTACGTTGTAATCCACTTTTCAAGAAAATTGTCATCACATGTTATAAACTATGAGTTAAAAAGTGTGCAAGTGGTGGGAGTTCATAGAAACTAATGGCCATTCCGTAATTTCAGAGTCGCACATTGGGTGTGATGGCCTGCAAATATGATGTTATGTCATATATTCTACAGGTCTCACACATGTCTGATCCAAGAGACCTTCAGAAATCTCAATTCTCCTCCTCTTTTTAGGGTGGACTACTTCTAAGCGCTGAATCTCACGTTCAGTGTTCACTTGCTCTTCGTACAATTCGTGGAGGAAGACAAAGATGCTAGTGTGGCTTTTGCCAACTGTAGATGAAAAGCGCCTTAGCCAATCTTCTATATTCTTAGTGGCATTTCTTCGTCTAGCTGTCTTACTTGTGTTGGTACAAAGGCAAAGCTGAAATCATTTGGATAGAGATAGAGAATTCTTCGTCACTGACATACCAAGAGGTGAAACCCTCCTCTTGTACCTTTCTGCATCTCTTCCTTCTATTCATAGGGCCTGACTTAAATGGAAAAAGTAGGTTTCATGTGCGTGATGAAAGGAACTCTTCTATCAAAGTCACAAAAAATTGAGCAATGTGTGAGATGCTCCATTTCGCCCTTTAAAAAAATGAAATCAGCTGTCGTTACATTAGGCTTAGAGTGCTTGCTCTGGGTGCCGTCACCCAGTGTTGCGGGATACCGTGCCGAAACCATGCCAGATTCAAGACTGTTTCAATTTTCGTATTGACGTCTGGATCGTATGCTTTTTAATGTATGAGACATTTTTGTGCCGTGTTCATGAGTTGAGCTGAGAATGAAGCGATGGTTAGCATTCATTGATCGATGTTGTGGGATGTGAAGATATTTTATCCGGACATCTCTGAATTAACAGGATGGCGCGTACCATGAATTGCATGCTTCTTGAAGGCATTCTCTCCTTGGACCTATTCGAGATGGTTCGAGGAACTCCAGATAGGCCTAACGTTCCACGTCCAAGTGAAATGGTTCATGAAACGCGAAACAGACCTCCAATCGGCCTAACGTTACTTGTCTACTCTGAAATGGTTCATGAACTTGTGAATAAGCCAGTGATTGGCCTAACGTTACACGCCCTCAACCAGATGTCTCGAAGACCACGATTCACCCTCATAGGCCTTATTGGCGACGTAAGTCGAGAATTGAGTTTCTTTTGAAAAGAGAAAGTCGACCTTGGAGTGACCTGAAGATATTCTGTTGGTTAGACCTAGGCCTAACGTTAGTGAGTCCTTGTAGAAAGGGGAGGGGAGGGGGGGAGTTGAATAAAGGGAAAACAATTGGAAATTGGTTTTCACATTACTACAGTATTGATACATTCACCTATCCGTCTGGATTTTCGGTATTTTCGGCATTTACTTCGAGAGTGAGTTACCATCGGTGTATTATACGTTCGGCGAATTGATTCGACATTTATGATGTACAACATATTTATCCATAGCTATTCCGCGCATTCGTTATGTTCTCCTGTCGGCAGTATTTTTACGGTATTTCGTTGTAGACCCCCAGAATCGACCAGTTGTTTTATATAACGTATGTTTTCAAGAAATTTCAATATTCGACCTCAGGTCTCAGAGGAAAACTCCACGGCAAGGGAAGCACGTGCGTTCACGAAGACCTGACGGCTCGGTTGGAAAAGCTAACACGACGAAGAATACACAAGAGTAGCTTTCGAACTGTCAATCTCCAAGTAGCAGTCGAAAGAGGTTGGGAGAACATCCTGGAGGAAATCGTTCTCGGTTTGATAAGGAGGGCATGTGGACTTTAGCTAACGCGGAATGACTTCGCATATTAAGGAAAACTGTACGAGTCAGCAGGCTTGGGTAAGAGCGCAATTGGAACTTTCTTACCGACGATTCGCAGCTGGAAGAAGTTCATGTACGCGTGGAAGAATTTGTTCATGACAGGAAATTTATCGTAAGAGATATACTGTATACATGTAGGCGAATGAACGAGTCGGCAGGCTTGGGAAAGAGCGCAATGGAATCAAACCAACCATTCGCTGCTGGAATATGTTGGCGCGGAAGAATGTGTTCGTGGTAGGGAATTTTTTTCACGAGAAAAATATACCTATAAGGTTGCAGATTTGAGACTAATTGAATAAAATAAGGAATAAAAGTAGATAAATGGAGAAAAAGGATGACTGGAGAAGGAAAACAATTTCCTATCACGATGAGATGGGGTATCAGAAGGAAAATCATGTCGTTCCTTCTGGGGATGACTACCTTGAACAGCGAAATTTCCGCCATATTGGTTTTTTGTTGAGGTCTCCTTTGTTCCGATGAATTCAATGTCATGGACGATGATTGCTCATATAGGGTTAGAACAAGCACTAGGCGGGAAAGGTTCAACATATATGGAACGGAACTATGAATACTACAGAAAAATGCACTTTCCTGTCTGTCTGCTTGATGCTATGTATCATTCTGTTTCTTTGTCAGTTAACGTTTTAGAAGATACACTGTTGATTATTGAGCTGTAAAATTTGTTAGATGCATTCCATGAATCAAGCAACATGAAGGGAAGTTATGAAATGGATGAAGATCCTCAGTATTTTGAAATATATCGCTCGTCACTCAAGGCTAATCTCGGGGTACTCACGAAGATTTGCAAACACGTCACACCTGACACCTCCCCAAATCTTTTCACTGCAGTGAAGCAACGTAAATCATCATTGCCGTGGAAATTTGTGGGAACCCGATTTCCAGTACGAATTTCTCTACTGATCTTCGATTTCCCGTTTCTCATGTGCAGAAATTCTGAATTGGTGAAATCCTGCACCATAGGAAGGAAATGCCAGAAATGATTTTTTCTTTTGACCGATGATGCGTATCATCAGCGCGATCGAAGTGAGTCGCCGAGTCGGAAAAAAATCATCCTATTGGTCTTGATGAGGTCAGCAGGTAATTATTATGATGACATCTAAAGGTCTGCAATGCAAACTGGTTCATCAGATGAAAGTTTTTCCCCACGCTCCAGAGGAGAAGCAAAAAATACTTAGAGACTTAAATACAAGGGAAAGTGGTACATGGAGATTGACCAGTATTTCGCTTCCTTAAATTCATTATAGGTTTTCAGTTGGGTTTGTCCTCTCGTATTTCGTGCAATTTGCAAGAGAAAGTGAGTTGATTCTTTTCAGGTAGGTCATACCGGGTGGCCCAAAAAAATGTTCCGACCTTTACTCGCCTGGAGACAGAATACCATATGAGTTGTCATCAGGAAATTTACAGGGTTTCACATCCAATATTTGTAGGTCATGTCGCAAAAATTTCACTGAAATAGTAGTTAACAACCCGAGTAGCAGTTTATTTCCCGCTTAATGTCGAAAGGGCAAGTGTGAAAATATGCGCGACAGTCCTCAATTCAAGTAATACTAGCGACCTGCGGCCACTACGCTGGCCGTCTAATAGGTGGAAATTCGAACCGGCTTTTATGCGCATAACGTCTCCTTGACAATCCTCTGTTCACCTCATTACCCATTCGTAACTGAACCGCTTCATTACATGTATACGCTTAGAGCTTACAGTACACAGTGAGATTCTGTTCCTAAACACCATCATCAAGATTTTCCAGCTGATTGCCACAATCGTTCATTGTGAACGGTTTAGCACGTGTTTATGAGACTCAAGACAACTTTGCTGATTTCGTCTCCCTAGCACATTGAATACTCTTATATCACCGATTAGCTCATGTGCTATTAGCGTTAGCATATAGTACAGACACCAATGATTCTGAAACAGTACGGACCATTTCCAAGAACTTGTTTCAAGGCAGGAAGGGAATTTAGTACATGTGCGGCACAATGCTAGCGACTAATTCCAGAAAATACCTCGCCACCACATTACCCTGAGGCTCTGAAAGTGTTGCTGACTGGTGCTAAAGTGTGAGTTGCAGCAGGAGCATTTTTTCGTTGTGAAACAAAATGCTTCCTCCTTACATCAAAATGGACAGCCTGATAGTGCTCGCTGCGCAAACGACTGTAGTGATTTGAGATGACACGGAGAACCCTGACAAAATGTCCCGAATTCCGTGGTGTAATGGTAGGAGGACCGGGTTCAATTCCCAGCTGCCCCCCCGGCTTTCGACACCTGAGTGCTGCGTTCCTCGCATCAAGTTCCTCAGCAGGCTGCACGGCTCTCTTATTCCGGAGCTCAGCATTCACTGCCTCTTGCTGTTCAGCGGTCTGAGCGGTCCTAAGCTCCTTACGTACAGCTGCGTGCTGTTCATCACTCATTCTAGCCTTTACGGCTAGCACTTTCTAAAGCACCGAATTAGGCACTTCGCACCGCAACTGCAGTGGCAAACGTTGTTTCCACGCCAGCACCAATAATTTTTTATCTGCAGTGGCTGCCTCATTGCTGTCCTATGGGGCCTCCCTCAACGTATTTTCTTCGCGTTCAACCTCACCTCGCAAAAATCGCCACCATTTTGATGGTGCGAGCGGCCCGTTTGCGCGACATATGAAACAAAAAACTTACGTGATTATGTAGACTTCATCAATCATGAGAACTCAAATTAATCGGCCATGACATGAAACGCAAACAGAAAACTATTGCATGAAAGCGATGGCCCGAACCACCACGCCTGACCTTACGAAAAGAAATATAAAAAAATACTTTAGCGAAGAATGTATTCAAATGGAGAACTTGCAGTCGATCAGTAAAAACGTGAAATGCATTCAGTTCGTAGCACCCTTTGCTTGACACAGCTAAGTATGAAGCCTATGGCTCAGACTGATATAACCCGAGGACCTGGCACTAAGTGCGTTGGATGGCTAAGCCGTTGACCTAGAATAGCATAGCACCATGGACCTAGCAGTGGGTGGATGGTCTAGCCCATGGCCAAGGATGGCATAGCCTAATGGACCTGCAGCTTTGAGTGGTGGACGGCATAGCCTATGGCCTAAAAATGATCAAGTCTCGTAGGCCTCGCGCATTGCGGTGACAGCCACTACCACAACTTCTCAGCACATTCAATACTCTTACATCACCGATTAGCTCATGGGTTATTAGCATTAGCTTATGGTACAGGTACCACTGATTCTGAAACAGTACGGGCCATTTCTAAGAATTTGGAAATCCGCGTTCAATTCCCGGCCGCCTCCCGGCTTTTGACACCTGAGTCCTGCGTTCCTTGCATCAAGTTGCCCAGCAGGCTGCATGGCGCTCCTATTCCTGAGCTCAGCATTCGCTGCCTCTTGCTGTTCAGCCTTTCGCTCCCTACGTGCAACTGTTTACTGTTCATCAGCCATTCTAGCCATTATGGCTAGCACCTCCTAAAGCACTTATTTAGGCAATTCGCACCGCAACTGCAGTGGCAAATGTTGTTTCCGCGCCAGCAGCAATCGCTTATTATCTGCAGCGACTGCCTCATCGCCGTCCTGTGGGACCTCTTTCAACATTTCTTTTTTCACGTTTAACCTCACCTATAAAAAATCGCCACCATTTTGATGGGAGGAGCGGTCCGTTTGCGTGACGTATGAAACAAAGAACTTACGTTATTATTTTGATTTCATTAATCATGAGAACCCAAATTAGCCGTGGCATGAAACGTAAACAGAAAACTATTGCATGGAAGCGATGCCCTGAACCGCCACGCCTGACCTAATGGGGAAAAAAACAAATAAGGAAAAAAACAACTGAGCAAAGAATGCATTCAAATGGAGAACTTGCAGTCGATCAGTGAAAACGTGACATGCATTCAGTTATTACCACCCTTTGACACAGCTAAGTATGAAGCCTACGGCTCAGACTGATATATTAATAGTTCGATAGACCTGGCGCTAAAAGCGTTGGATGGCCAAACCTATGGCCTCGAATAACATAGCCTGTAGAACCTGGCGCTTTGAGAGGTGGGTGGCCTAGCCTATGGCATGAAGTGACACAGTCCCGTAGGCCTCGCGCGCTGGAGTGACAACCGCCACAACTCTCAGACTCTCCGAATTAAAGTATAAGATGGCCTGGAAAGGCGTAGCCTTGTAGGCCTGGCGCTTTTTTTAGGCCGTGGATGATCTGGCCTATGACCCAGAATGACATTGCATCGTAGGCTTGCGCATTTGGGGTGGCAGCCACGGCCACTACCACCGCAGCTTTTGACCTCTTCGAATTAAAGTATAGGATTTGAAGGGTTCTTTATTTGTCCCCCTGCGATCGCTCTCTGCGGCAGCACTTAGTGCAAACGCACTGACACACTTGCTTATTTGACAATTCCGACAGAAAGAACTCTTACTCTTACTTTGCAGGAAATGTATGAACTAGAACGGGTAACCCACCCCCTTATGGGTTCCTCTCAAGAAATCCACAAATTTGTTAACAACCCTGAAAGAAGCTGCGGGCAGATGACAATTTCGTTTTTCGGGTGAAGCGCGGGAGAGGGACGCTCGCTTCTCCCCAAGAGTTGCATCTACAGTTTGGCCACAAAGTCCCTTAACACCAAAGAAAATTTTATCCAAAAGACTTAATTTTTTCCCTTTTCACAGATTGCGGGCAAAATGACTGACACAAGTGATTATACGATAGATGAAAGACTAATTGCCAGTATTCGGGTTCATGATCGCGAGAGAGATGGGAGAAGTTATATAGACATGAGCGTTATTTTTGGAGAGGTTCAGTAAGTCTGAACCCACTCCTCAAACGTTTTGGACAAGGGGGAAAAGACTTTCTCCACAGGAATATTTCATGCAAAGCGTTCTGGTCTTCCGGCATCACGTTAAAGTCATGTGGGAACAGTTGAATCATCATGTACAAGATCGCCACAAAAATCAACCTGGAAACGTTCCTCCGAATTGGGCATTCCACGCTCAACAATGAAAACTCATTAAGAAGGATTTGAGGCTGAAGCAATTTAAGCCTGAATACATCAATGAACTTAATGACACATGTGAGGCTGCGTGCAAGGCGCTCTTACGGCGTTTTTTCCACCCAGAAGTCAACACAATACTTTTTTTTCTCAGACGATTGTGCTATTTATCTCAGCAATCGAACCAGAAATGTTTATTTTTGGTGAAATGAGAACCCCCATTACTACGAGGAAGTTAAGCAGCACCCACCACATGTCATATTTTGGCAGCAATTTCGACAGATCACCTAATTGGTCCATACTTCTTCAGGGAAATGTGGATCGCACCGCATATCTGAACATGCCGCAAATGTAGTTCATTCCACAACTGTGTGAGAGGGGTCTTAAATCAACATGCATCCAAGATGGTGCATCAAAGATCCATGCAGCAAGATGGAGCATCAGCACAGTATGCCCTGTCAGTTCGAGAATATCTCAATAACACGTTTAGTGGACGAAGGATTGGACGGGGATCTGATATGGCATAGCCACCTCGCAGCTCAGACCTGACAGCATGCAAGAATGCACTTTGGGAAATCGTGAACGAAAAAATTTCCCAATTGCGCCTAACAAATAATGCAGACCTCAAAACAGCCATCAGAGACTGCTTCCATGATATTCAGCCTTCCACGTGAAAGAAGATGTCAGAAAGAACATGGTGATAGATCAATGTGCGGAAAACGGAGGACACCAGACAGACGCTGTGATTTCCTTGTTAAAGGACTATGTGGTCACCTTGGAGATCCTTAATAATATAATGTCCTTTTCCACTAAAATACAACAAGCGAAATGGAAACAAAAAAAATAGCGGTAAAAAGACTAAAGCAAAAAGTACCCCACCTCCAGAGGTTACTTACGCATGAATATTCTCTTTCATCCAAACTGAAAATACATAAAAATTATTATTCGTCGTTTACTCACTCACTCACGATAGTGATATATGGAAATGAAAGCTCGACATTAATGCGGGACGACAAATTTAGCAAGGAATCTCAATGAAATAGTTTTCATGCTACTTGAATGAGGGGAATTCAGAAAAAAATTTTCAATCTCGCCATAGTGTTTAAGAAGATCAAACGACATGCGAACACCAACGAAACTCCATTCATGGTTTCGCCAAAACGTTAGAAGATACTGGGAGAATTGACGCTGCCAGCCGACTGACATTCTCGAATGTTGGAAACAGGAAAACCACAAAGAAAGATTGTCCTTCAACCCTTTAAACGTGACCTAAATATCTCCCAAGTGCGTCAACTGTGACCCATTTCCATTCAATCACGCAATGACTCAGAGCTCTCATCGCAAACAGATGGAATGGGAAACCGAACTAGCCGTTTGAGAAATGTACAGGCCCCGACCACAACATACGATCGTCACTGCGAACCACCCAAACCACCCGAGCGGCTTTCACCCTTCTACAAGATATTCCCCACCATCCCAGTGGTCTCGCCAATCAAGGGAGTCAAAGGAAATGGAGTGGAACATGGTAAGAAAGGAATTATGTTGCACATTTAATTGGAAGTCTTTTTAAAATGCAATCAGGGCGGATTTCGAAAGTTTAAATATTTATTCAGTTAATTTCCCAGACACACATATTGTAAGAATAAATCATTGCACTTGCTTTGATTCACATCATGCAGATAGAGGCTATTCAACATAATTAGGAAGTCTCTCAATTTGGCAAGTCATTTGAGAAAAACGCTCCCTCATCTTTAATACTGAAAAAGAGGCATCAGAATTTGAAAGTAAGTTTTTGCTTTTTGTACACGGAAGTGATAGACCTCGTGATGAAAACTCATCTAAATGGGTGTGAGGAACTTCCAGTTCCGGAGATACTACTTTATTCTAAAATGTAATATATGATCAAGAATCTCACCGTCACTGAGTTAGTTTCCATGAGGAGATAGGTGAATCAATCAGGAATAATATGAAATTTTTTCACTTAGTTATTTTTAAGAAAAAAAAACCTGCCTGATGGGAAGACGAATGAAAGCTGCAGGAATCGAGTACCAGCACCACACAAGGGCATCACGCATGAAAGGCAACATCATGTGTTACACAGTCAGGTTATCATTGAAGGAAGTCGTTGTAACTGACTCCAGCGGAAGTGCCCCCAGTCAACAGCTTTCTCCGAAAGATCGCGGAAGTGTTCTCGAACGCTGTTGTCCCGTCGACAGAATGAATGCGGACTTTCTTCTCGACGTTATGGGGGGAAGGCTCATTTTGTTTCCGAGAAGAGGGTGGCTTTCTGTAAGTCTTGCGGAAGAAGTCCACGAACAAGACGAAGTAACTTAGATACATCAAAATTGCGCACGTCAATATCAGGTTGGACATGTTGCACTCGTACCCGCGCATCTTCGTGACGGTCACGTATGCACAAACTACTATGCCCAGCACCATCTGCGAGATCTGAGAAAAGGCAACGTTGAACCAAGTGAATAGGAGGACGGTTATGTGGTGATACCAGTGAAGAAAGATGAGTTTCCGTTTCCGAAGGAGAGTAAAGAAGGTGTCGCCTAATTCCAGGATCTTGGAGAACGAGAAGGTAACGACCCACAAATGGCCAGTTGGGTCTTCCTCGGCTATCCTGAAAAATGATGACGATCATGATTTAATTCCTAAAAAGTGGATTAAGCCGTACGACGATGAATGAGCCCTAATATTTGCGATAACTCATTAAGTAATTGATCAGCCTATGAGAGTAAAATTAATTCTTAAGTTGATCTGATCAATAAGAAACATGTTCATTTAAGATGGAAATAAAATGCAAATAAGACCAAAAAATAAATCAACAAATAATGAACAACGTGATGAAAAAGTGATTTTAATATATTTGAATCCTGTTGAAACTGATGGCAATGGGTCATCGCCACCCAGCAGCGTGTTTACGTGAATAAGATATCAATTCTTTGCAAACAATGTAAATGTCTTGCGATTGCCATGAAAATGACATCATGTTTACGTAAAATTTACGTTCCCATATTTACGTATCCAAAGTGTGCGCGTATTTTACATGAACTAAACGTCACTCCATCGTACGTGAAATACATAATATCAAGTTCATGCAAAGTTAACACTGCACCATCCATTTGAAACTTTAGGTGACTATCTCGCAGTTGCGGTCCCAAGATTCCTCACTTGATGGAACCCTTGTTCCCTGCACCCTACATATGTTATTAAGTACTGGCTTTCTGATATCGTATCAGATTTTCTTACCCTACTTCCAATTTTTACTATGTAATCCATGAATGTGTATATGGTATATATATATATATATATATATATATATATATATATATATATATTTGGAAAATATTACATAATTTTAAATAATATTAGACTCAGGGAATTATTAAATGCTTAAGCTAAGCTTCTTATTACAGCAGTGCACGGGATTAGGAATGAGTAGAATCCTAGCTGCACAAGTATTACATCTTCTCTATCCTTCATGAAAGATGGCTCCTGTAAACTTCTACTCCTCCTCCCGAGGTTCTGGTACGGGAGGAGGAATCAGAGGGTCATCTTGGTACTCTTGAGTGCTAGTGCACTCGTCCAAGTATCCTAGAGTTTCAAAGTATAGAAATGAATGGGGAAAATACAGTATATCAATTCCCTTCAATAATACGAGTCTACTCGTTTAATAAACCTGAATGTTTTGGGAAAATTAACATCAATTCTACGAAAAATGAATGTATAAAAACAGTTGAGGATGTAAACGGGAACGTCAATTTCACATAAAATTTTCGTAACATTTATATCACCGTTTCCGTTTTACAGAGGTGACATATCTACAAGCATGTTGACATTGCGTAAAAAAGTTATAAAATGGACAAAAGATCTATTAATCCATTCATTTTACGTAAAATTAACATAAACATACTGCTTGGTATGATCTGAGTTCATTGATCCATGATTGGAAATCGTTCTTTAAAATGATGCATCTATCAGTTTATTCGAGAAACTCACCCCTTGACGCAGATGCTATTGCCGGTTCCTAAGTGTCTCGCGAAGTGAAAGAGGCTGACCCCGATCCTCACTGTGACGATGAGGCTGAAGATGGCCAAGATACCGTTCCACGCCACCAGCGCCTTCCTGAGCAAGAAGGCCTGTCGATGATTCATGAATCTTTTCACTGCGTAAATACTTGCGGCATAGGTAACGACAGCGAGCCACGGCAGATAGTTCATGGAATTCATGTATGCCGACATCTCGGGGGACGAGAAGCGCGTCTCCCAAGGCTGCAGGGCCAAATGGGGTGCAGATTGGTTCACTAGACGGGTCGAGGAGCCCATTGTCTTCAAGCCCATTTGTAAAGTTATCTGAGGACACAAAGCAAAGATACATTTTACTCTCACTTCATCCTAATTAGTACACTGGTCAAAATCCATGAAAAACTAGGATATAATTAACTATTTCTCAAGTGTCCGAGTTATTTTATATTTTATGAGCTTAAGAAAGTGACTGAAATCGAATTATTCTAATTTTTATCGTTTGCAGCTAATTCCTTCATGTTTTGGCACCATGCATTGCACCATATCGGGTTTCCTTGCGTGGAGGGAAGGAGAAATTTCCATTTCCCATGTCCAACCAACTGCGATTGTTGGTATGTCAATTTTCCATTTCGAGCCGAAGAGGATTTTCTTAAATGTGCACTTGTTCGCGGAAGCTTAGAAACGAGTTCACTATTTTTAGCACATTAACGGGATAGAAAAGCAATCAAAGAACGCAAGAATTATCATGGCAGTACTTGCGACATCGAAAAATTTTGATACTTCATAATTTCAACTGGGAAGTCCAATGTAGACAATCGATAGCGAAGAGCACATAAAGATTCTCATATATTTCCTATATCTTTCCTTTTCCTCGGAAGTCGATATAGATCCAATATTGGTGGAGGGACCAACGTTTGGTTCCATACAACACGCATACAATACTCATTAAAGATTTGCGACTTCCTCCAGCCGTTTCTTGAATGAGCGATCCCCGAACCAACCGGCGCAGACTCAGGAATGTCGTGAGGGAGACGAACATATGAATTAGACCTAAGAGAAGTAGCAAATAATGACCCCGAGTCGAAAATCGAATGCCTTACTATACGGCATGCTGGGCGGAAATGGGGGTGGAAGAGTGCGGAAGAAGGGGGTGGGGGGCTTGAATCCGTTTCAAGGTTGTATAAAGGGCACGGACTACCATATCACACTGACATGAGTGTGACCAAGATCTGGGACCAAGGAAAATCTCATTCGCAGGCAGTTTTTGGCCTCCTGACCAGTAACTGCACAGCAAAGGAGAATCGTACGGTCAGGTACACATTTTGTACTTTATGAGGTACGAACGTATGTCGTAAAATGCGTTAGTTGAAAAGGTACAGAAGGTACACATGTGTACCTTTCATATCTCTATTCACATTGGGCATAAGGGGGTTCTAAAATCGGCTCATGAACCTCAATTGTCGGCTTCGAAGGGAGCTTTAATGGCTCGTCATCCGGCACTACGTGTACGACCTGTCATTGATAACACGCTGACAACGTCTCCATGCCGGAGACGTGCCGGCTGTCTCATGAACAGAGTCTTCTCTTGTTATCATGGGGACAGTAGGTAACTTGACCACCCTGTTTAAGGACAATCAAGTTTAGTGAAAGTTGGCCGTCCGTTTGCAAAGGCAAAAATCTCATAACCAAGGAGAGGTACAATTGTGAGAGGCACATATTGTGTCCCTCGGGTCTGCATGTGTGGTCCAGACGTACACACGTGTACGTTGATGACGTAGATGTCCGGGTTCTCAGCGCAGTACTCAAAGTAGGCATAAGATGACGCTTATGTTCCCTCAAACTTTCGAACTCGAGTCAGGACGCACCAGACCTTAGGAGAAGAGTTTTCTTCCTTTTCCTGTATTTATCTTATCGTAATACTTGTAAAGGAGTATTTAGTAAAAGTATAAATATCATGTTTCAATGGCAATCAATGATTCTGGAAAATTTTAAATGCTAGGGTTTTGTACGGAAACAGAGAAGTGTGAACCAAAAGGTTACGAGTTTTTTATCTCTGAGAAATGGGTGGCCAACTTTCAATAAGCATGAAAGAATGACCTTCTTAAACATGGTGGTCTATTTACTTATGGTCCCCATGATAACAAGTGTGTTCATGAGACAGTCGGCACGCCCTATGCGAAATGGGGACGTTCTCAGCCTGTTATCAGGGACAGGTCGCGCTATCTGTGGAAGACGTCGGATGACGGGCCATTAAATCTCCCTACGAAGCCGACAATTGTGCATCATGAGCCAGTTTTTGAACCCCCTTAAGCCCGATGTGAATGGATATAGGAAAGGTACACGTGTGTACCTTCTGTACCTTTTCAACGAACGCATTTTACGAAATAAGTTTGTACCTCATAACGTTCAAAATGTGTACCTGACCGTACGTTTTTCCTTTGCTGTGTGCATGTGTCAAATATGAAACCGATTCTACATTTCGTTCCGGAGATCTAAGCCATTATGTCATCCGACATTTTTGTCGGATTTCTCTATGGCAAAACCGCTTTAAACCTCCTTTACGCTAAGGTCAGTTTAATGCAATCCACCCGGTGTCTTTACTCATTTCACTTCGAGCAACCACGGAGTTCCTTACGAACCAGAAAAGCGGACGAAAAGTTATCCTCGAAGGATTTCTCCATGCGAAGCACTCTCAGTTGTTTCGCGGAGTCAGACGTACTGATCGTTACGCGAGTCATTAAGAGAGCTGTTGAAAGTTCCACTTTGCAAAAACGCTTCATGCGCCACCAATTTTATATATTAAAATTTTTATTTTTTCAGCAATACAATCATGTAGATTTTTTTTTCAGGATAAAGGAAAAATATAAGCAAGAAAAATATTCAAGTGGTCATTTTTCCCGTATGTTCCTATTTATTATTCCCTTGCGAAGCAGAAAGAGGGGTTTCCGACTCGTAGGCAAAAAAAATTCGCACTTCAAGAGAAATTTATGATTAAGGAGAGAAATCCGCCAAGTCCAATGAATGCTCGAATATTTCGGATGGAATTTCACTCGGAAAATCGGTTTTCGCTCTGGCAGTTCTTTGCAAAAACACGCTCAAACAGGTTATTATATTGAAAAGAGCATAGGCTGCTCCTGGAAATGGAGATGAAAGTAAAAATTATTTCATAGAAAGAAGGAAGCGTAAATTAGAGTTCAAAAATATTATATGTTGAGCTTATTAATTTAAAACATTAGGAAAAATTGCGACATGTGGATGAAGCAATATTTAAATGGAACTTCACTCATGAGTACCTCAGTATTGTCGAGCTTGCCCGGGGACTACTCCAGTAAGCGTTACCCCGATCTCGTGTAGTGTTTTGCTGATTTGTGAAGCACATGCTTGGGTGCAGCTTTTCCCTCTTTTTCTTTTAGAATGCCAAATTCTTGGTTTGTAGACAGTAACACCTGCTAGGGTGGGGTCTGATACTACGCTGTAGCGACAACACTGCGTGATGACCTGACAGGTTTATTTTCGGGGGGAGGGGGGGTTTACCCGGACTCGACCGTCCCCCTCATTCCCTCCCCCCTCTCTCCCTCCTATCGCCTTTTTCATTTTTCATTAATTTTACACTCATATAGAGTATACTGTAGATCACCAGCCTGATGTACACAACCAACGACCAGAATCCCCGAAATTCTACTGCGTCCAACCGGCTCCACTCCGGTCCACACCGGTCCGACTCATCCACACGGCGACCCCTTGCCCTTGCCCTTGCCAAGTAGCGGTAACGGTCGGGTGACTGACTCGTATGGCTCCGGGCAGCGCGACCGGCTTTGCTCCGCCATCCTGGAGCAGCTCCAAGCAAGGAAGCCACAAGGCCATTCCCCATCTGACACATTTTCCCTCGCCTGAAGACAGACAGATATAGTTATCATTAATTAGTACAGCACATTAATTTCCTTCCTTTTCCTCCACTTTCCAGTAGCCATCTTCACGCTCGAGTATTATTTCAGTATGTGGATGAATAGAGTCAGGTTTTTTTTGTGAGGGGAGCAGGCAAGGCGACGATTATTAGACGATAAGTGCCAATGAATATTTAATTTTTAAAATTTTAATTCCAATTTTATTTAATGAGATAGACGCAAGGCGCTTCACATCGTTCACAACAGGTATTTCAAAGAGTTCGGCGCCGACAAACTCCATGAGGCAACGGGGAGAGAGATTTAGGGATTCGCTAAATCTAACAGGATTCCAGGCTTCAATCGGCGCTACAAACCCAACCAGGGTTCGCGTCTCATTTCTCCATTATATGCGGCGTCTGCGAGACCACATTTTTGAAGCAATTTCGGGGGCACAATTTTGGACGCCTCAAATTTGGACGCCTCAAATTTGGGCGCCTCAAATTTGGGCGCCTCAAATTTGGACGCCTCAAGGCTGCTATCGGAATAATATCCTTTTTTGCATTTTTGAGCTCTTTCGCGATTGTAATTGAAATGTTCATGCTTTATATGTAGTTTTCATATCTTGTATACATTTACTATATCATGCCAAATATTACATGTTTACATTTAATCAATGACTGAAAATTACAAAACTAATGGGTGAAAGAAGGCCTCTGATGAAACTGAGCCATGCATAATTGCTCCCATTGCAGCGTAATATGAATCGCAAAGTCACGAGAATCCTAAAAAGTTGTCATGGCCGCAATGTAAATGCAATGTCCATTGGAATGGACGCCAGGTCTGAAAGGGTCAAGCAAAAGGAATAAAATTTGAAGAAAAAAAATTTAGAATTAGATTTGGAAGTGGTGCTTCTCGAAACATCTAACTTGAAACTTTTTCTTTTCTTTTTCTCAAGTCCGTTCTGCCTTGGAAGGGGAGAGTGAATCTTTTCCATTTGGCACGTCGACGCTCCGAGTTTCTGACTGGCAGTTCCGCTAGTGCGGCTTAGACTCGTTAATCGAGCTTTCAGTGAGCCAGCAGCTCTTTCGACGGTGGAACGGTGAGTCATCAGATGACTTCGGGTATCCGTAATCCGGATTATGGATAGCTATCCGGGACGATCTTCATTTTCTTATTCCTATTTGGGGAAGCCGTTTCTATTGGCGTTTTCTTATGTGGTTTCAATAGGGAGATATGGGTTCCATCGATTGCCCCCATCACTTTGGGGAATTCAATTTCCTTAATTTTCAGAAGAAGTCAGTCAGTTTTCACCTTGTGCACTTCGTGTACTGATGAGGGAAAGAGTGCGGCCAAGATGTGCCCCATTTTTTAGGCCGTTGAATTTATAGTCAAACTTGGTATCAAATTAAAGATCTCGTCTAGCTGATTACGAATATATAGGTTTCAAGATCTAGTCTTTTACCGTTGCAGAGAAAACGGGCTCTAAAGGTACCAACCCCGGTAGATGGCGCCACCAGCTCGTCATTATAAATATCATCAACAGAGATCCTATTGATAACCGCGATCAAGATCTAGCCAACGCACAACTACTCATAACTAGAACCCGTGGCGCCATCTATTGGGGTTGGTACCTTTAGAGCCCGCTTTCTCTGCAACGGTAAAAGACTAGATCTTGAAACCTATATATTCGTAATCAGCTCGACGAGATCTTTAATTTGATATCAAGTTTGACTATAAATTCAACGGCCTAAAAAATGGGGCACATCGCCTATGGGCGGTTGGCCGCACTCTTTCACAAAATCTCGCACGCGCTGAGCGAGAATTTCACAGACGGTATGAGTGGCATGGAGAACTGATGATTTGGAGATACCTAGAATAGCTAGGAGATACGTCGAAGAACTAGGAGATACCTAGTCCATTTCCCAACACGGAATAGATGGCACCGGTAGTGAGGAATCTCAATGTACAGCGCAATATTAGTTGAGGAACCAAGAGATTACTGGAAGGACTCCTTTGAATGTCAGCACTATGGTACTTATGAGGAGTACTTTGGAGGAGGTACTTTGCTCGTCGTCCCTATGGTTTTCAAGAGAATTAAGGCGGTCGCGGAGAACGCTCTCCCTCCTCGGCAATTTTCGCCCGCGAAAATGTTCCCGTGCCGCCATGTCTCACACAAATGGCGACGAAATTATGTGGGACAAATCCTCTTTCGGGAAATGAAATATTTTGGGACTGTTTAGAACGATGAGACGATCCAGGTCATACTGAAAATCATTTTAGAGAAAAAAAAAAGACGCCTCCTTGGAAGTCTTTTTCCAAGCTAAAACTTTTCTTCAACGGGAAGAAAAGATTGAAAAAGTTTTGAACTTTCGAGAAACCGCTTTTCTAAGAAGGAAATAAGAGAAATATTGGAAATAGTCGTGTTTTGCGCGCAAATTTTAAGGAAAGGAAAAGAATTAGAAGCTTCATTTAGATTTAGAACTGGTCCTCATGGCCCACGAGACTCGAGACGCTCGAGTAATAGTATTACTGCGAGTAATACGTTCGAGTAATACGTTCGAGTAATACGCTGCGCGATGCAGCTCGGGTCTCATGAAAGGATTTGGTCTTTTGTGCATTCAGCGTCTGATTTTGGATTATAAGGACACGAGCTTTTTTTCTGGTTCCTTCCTTGATCTCGGAACTCCGTTTTACAATAAAAATATTAAGTTTTAGTTTCCGACAAGGAACGCGCAAATACACACAGAAGCGCCAAAAGCCAGAAATCCACGAATTGGCTGAAAAGTTTCGTTACTACTCGGAGGTCAAATTCCTCTCGTCGATCGCTAACGGTGTCGCGGGAAAGGAAGCCTTTCCATATTAACCGGGATCGAGTGCATCATGGATAGTCCATTGTGTTCTTCCATGGGAAACTGGTTTTCCCTTAACGAGCTGAATCGTCTTTCTCACGTGCTGGAATCTCCACCTGTAAACCGAGATTCCGAAGTTTAACGGGAAATTCCCTCGATTGCGCCATTCTTCTCTTTACGCTTAATACCTGTAAACGAGGATCTCATTCGGGCAGCTTGAATCTGCGATCTGGATCTTTCGGTATATGCGCAAATTTCATGAGCATCGGAGAGGGTGGGGAGATAAACATTCTTAAATACCGAAAGTTTCGTTTCTCTATAAGCTTCCGATCTGGAAACCACGGCTCGCCAAAGTTCCTGGAGAACTGCAGAAGCCTTGGAGATGCGGTTATCGATCTCGTTTCCGTGTCGTCCGTCGCTCGAGAACCAGACCCCGAGGTGCTTCAATTTCTCCTCCTCTTGCAATGAACCCCATTGACGAACGGGGTGCACAATACAGGATTCCTCCGTAGGACCATGACCTTTGTCTTGGAGACGCTCGGTTTCATTCAGTGCATTCCGATCGAGCACGCTCTGGAGTTCCTTTCGAGAACGGGTCAAAAGGACGGCATCGTCGGCAAAGAGAAGTATCCTTACCGTGACGTCACCGAGAAAGAGGACATCCCCATGCCGGAGTCCAGCACGTACCAGAAAACAATTCGGACTCCTCCCGCTCACTCGTTCCCGAATAGTTGACCCACTCCTGCATTTCATGATACAGGGACTGAACTGCCCGCAATAACTGACCCTTCATCCCCTACTCCTGCAGCATTCCCCAAAGCTTCCCTCGGTCACGCGGTCGTAAGCTTTTTCGAGGTCGACAAAGCATACATAAACGTCTTTGGCGTACTCCCGATGTCTCTCGGGAATCTGGTGGAGAGTGAACTGCCGGTCCGTGGTGCTGCGCCATTCGCGAAAGCCGCACTGCTCCTCGCGGATGGTTTCACCTACATCTGCCCGAGCTCGCTTTTCCAGCATCTTGGAATAAGCTTTACCAGGTATGCGGAGAAGAGTGATCCCACTGTAGTTCGTGCAGTCTCTCGAGTCCCCCTTCTTAAAAAGAGAAACCGCTACATCGGTTTGCCGATCCCCGGGTGCTGTCCTTAATTCCCGAGCAGCCTGACAGACCCGATGCAGTCACGAGCACTCATCTGTCTCCTTTAGTTTCAGTCTCTTTCCGGATTTCATCCATCCCGGGAGACTTCCCGTTCTTCGAACTGGCGATGGCCTGCATTGATAAGTTGGTTAATTGGGTCCGGCAATCCGGAGCTTCTGGGTGCGTTGCACCCCTGTCATACATACCTATCGGTCGGCTTACCACCGGCCAAATCGTATTCTTGACACGATGCAGCGAGGGCAGATCAGGAATGGAATCGAATGGAAACTGGTTTATCTGATCACAACTCACTTCTCATGCTTGAAAGCAGGGGTCGGTAACCTTCATCCAATTAGGCGCCGGATTTATTATAGGGCGCGGTCCTATGGTCGCTCACGCTCGATATAACGAACTCGAAAAGACAGGCTAAAAAACACTTCGTTGTGAGGGAAATCCCTTAGAGGGAATTCCCTGAAAAATGAGATCTTGTAAACAAAATGTCATCGCAAGAAAAAGGGAAGTAGTCGAAGAAATTCATGAAAAAATGCAGTGACTTAAGAGCGTGTTATTTCGCAAAAATACAACATACAAAATGCAAAAATACCACGTATCTATGAACTGAAAATGGCGTTGTGGGCGTTCCTAACGTGTCCGTTTGTGCGTGCTGTTAATTATAAACTGACTCCATTCATTATATATTCATCGCCAAGAAGAAAGCACGATCAAAAAGTTGAGCGATCTTCATGAGATTTGGTAAACTAGCTCGTACTATCATACTATGCAATTTATTAGAATTTGAACTGTGTAGGATGAGCATTAATGGAGAAAACATACCAATTAATCAAATTTCAAAAACGGCGATGAGGTCACACTAATCGCCCGAAACGGTTACGTCGAAGGTTTTTTTTTTGCTAACGAAAAGGAAAACTCCTAAATCGAGTGGAAAATGGAAGCGGCTCTGAGGAGAAGGGAGAAAGGAGGCCGACGCATTCGGTGGCGCCGTGGTTCTCAATTCTGCCGAAATTTAACGAGTTTTTTCCAAGTTGCTTGATAGCAAGATCTCAAAACTTTGCCTGATTTTTATGCACATTTTTGGGAGTTTTCTTACGGCGTTTCGTCAGTAAAAACTTTCTAGGAGAACGTCTGGTGCGTTTAGTTTGACCAATAGCCGCTATTGAAATCGATAAATTGGAATGTTTCCTCCATTAATACTCGTCCCACACACTTGAAATTATAATCAATTTCATAGTATGCCAGCATGCGCTAGTGTACCAAAATTCATCTTGATCGGGGAACTCCTTTGTCGCGCGTTTTTAACCGATGAGATCCGTAATGAAATACGAGTTGGTTCAATGGCAGGAAGGATAATATATTGCACAATGCGAGAGAACTGACCGAAAGAAGGGTTCACCCAGGTGGTAGAAGAGAAGGACGAATCACATCCACACGTCTTTAAGGACATAACTAGAATGATAGAATGAGTTCTCAGTATCTGATCGTCAAATAATATATTCCTCCGTTCAGGTCAAGGGGAAGTCTCTCGGAGGGGGGAAGTGGAGATGATGAGGTTACTCCTCCCCCGTTTTCTTTTTATTCCTCCGGTGACCGTCTCAAGGCCCACAACTCCTCCAGCTCCAACCCTGCTTCAAGAAACGGTCAAACGGAAATCAAGTAAAAGCACCACACAAGGTCATCGAGTGTGAAAGGCAACATCATGTCTAACACAGTCAGGTTATCATTGAATGAAATCGCTGTTAGTGACTCCGGCGGAAGTGCCCCCAGTCACCAGCTTTCTCCGAAAGATCGCTGAACTGTTCTCGAACGCTGTTGTCCCGTCGACAGACTGAATGCCGACTTTCTCCTCGACGTTATGAGGCGATGGCGCATTTTGTTTCCGAGAAGAGGGTGGCTTTCTGTATGTCTTGCGGAAGAAGTCCACGAACAAGACGAAGTAGCTTAGATACATCAAAATTGCGCTCGTCAATATCAGGTTTGACATGTTGCACTCGTACCCGCGCATCTTCGTGACGGTCACGTATGCGCAAACTACTATGCCCAGCACCATCTGCGAGATCTGAGAAATGGTTATAAGCATCATGATTCCTCGAGGCACCGATACCCTCAAGACTCTCAGAAAGTAATAGGAATACATGAGTGTGTGCACCGCAGCGTTCATCAAACAGAACCATGTGCCAGCCTCCTCCATTCTGGCAACGTTGAACCAGGTGAATAGGAGGACGGTTATGTGGTGATACCAGTGAAGAAAGATGAGCTTTCGTTTCCGAAGGACAGTAAAGATGGTGTCGCCTAATTCCAGGATCTTGGAGAAAGAGAAGATAACGATCCACAAATGGCCAGTTGGGTCTTCCTCGACTATCCTGAAAAATGATGACGATCATTCCTAAAAAGTGGATTAAGTCGTACGACGGTGCATGAGCCCTGATATATATGATAATTCATAAATTAAGTGATCAGCCTATGAGAGTAAACTTAATTCTTCAATTGATTTGATCAATAAGAAACATGTTCATTTAAGATGGAAATGAAAAGGAAATAAGACCAAAAGATTAATCAAGAAATGATGAACAAAGTGATAAAAAAAGTGATTTAAAAAAATCTGAATCCTCTTGAAACTGATGTCAATGGGTCATTGCCACCCAAGCAGCGTGTTTACGTAAATAAGATATCAATTCTTTGCAAACAATGTAAATTTCTTGCGATTGCCATGAGAATGACATCATGTTTACGTAAAATTTATATTCCCATATTCATGTCGTCAAATTGTGCGCGTATTTTGCAGAAACTAGACGTCACTCCATCGTAGGTGAAATACATGATATCAAATTCTTGCAAAATTAACACTACACCATCCATCTGAAACTTTAGCTGACCATCCTGCTGCTGCAGTACCAAGATTCCTCGCTAGATGGAACCCTTGTTCCCTGCACCCTAAAGATGTTATTAAGTACTGCCTTTACTGATATACAGGGTGTCCAAAAAAATGTATACACACACCATCAACCCATAACTCGGTAACCTTTTCTCTTTTTCAGTTGCAAGTTGGTTGTAATAATGCAAAATCCCAGACTTATATTTGAGCAGCGGAAATTTGTGTTGAAGTGGTATTGGAAGTTGGAAAATATCAACTAAGTCCAGAGAGTTTAGGAGTGAATACCACACTGAACCACCAACGCGTCTCACAATTTCGCGTATTCGAGATAAATTTGAAGCGGATGGCACTGTGCAAAATGTACACAGGCAACGATCTGGAAGACCTCGCACATCCACGAGCCCCACGAGATCACAAGAGGTGCTGGAACTTTTCGTTCCTCGTATAAACTTCAGTTTCTCGATGATGTCAACAATGCCTGGATGAGAATGGAGGACATTTTGAACACTTGCGTTAATGCATAATTTTTTCTCACATTTTTTCTTCATTATAAAATTATAAAATTGAATTTATGAANTGAAAGTTGCCGTTTCTGATTGGTTTGATGGACAAGAAGTTGACTTCTATTCCCAGGGAATAAAATCCTTGGAATCAAAGCGGAATAAGTGTGTTGAGTTAAAAGGTGACTACATTGAAAAATTAAGTGTTATTTTTCCCCTCGGATGTTTCTTTCCTATTCAGGTAGATAACGTATTGAGTGATCCTCGTAATATATGACTTAGGGAATCATTAAATGCTGAAGCTAGACTTGTTATTACAGCAGTACTCGTGAATAGGAATGAGTAGAATCCCAGCTCCACAAGTATTACATCTCCTTTATCCTTCATGGAAGCGAGCTCCTGTAAGCATCTACTCCTCCTGCCGAGGTTCTGGTATGGGCGGAGGAATCAGAGGGTCATTTTGGTACTCTTGAGTGCTAGTGTACTCGTCCAAGTAACCTAAAGTTTCATAGTATGGAAATGAATGGGGAAAATACAGTATATCAATTCCCTTCAATAATACGAGTCTGCTCGCTTACTAAACCTGAATGTTTTGGGAAAATTAACATTAGTTTTACGTAAAATTAGCATAAACATGCTGCTAGGTATGATCTGAACTCATTGATCCATGATTGGAAATCGTTCATTGAAATGTTGAAATATCAGATTATTCGAGGAACTCACCCCTTGGCGCAGGTGCTAAAGCCGAGTCCTAAGTGACTCGTGACGTGAATGACGCAAACCCCGATCCTCACCGTGACGAGGAGGCTGAAGATGGCCAAGATACCGTTCCAGGCCACCAGCGCCTTCCTCAGCGAGAAGGCCGGTCGATGCTTCATGTATCTTTTCACGGCGTAAATACTTGCGGCGTAAATAACGACAGAGACCCATGGCAGATAATTCATGGAATTCATGAATGCCGACATCTCGGCGGTCGCGAAGCGCGTCTCCCAAGGCTGCAGGGCCAGATGGGGTGGCGAGTGCTTCAATAGACGGGTCGAGGAGTCCATTGTCTTCAAGCCCATTTGTAAAATTATCTGAGGACACAAATCATTGGTTCATTTTACTCTCACTTCATCCTCATTAGTACACTGGTCAAAATCCATGAAAACCTAGGATATAATTAACTATTTCTCAAGTGTCCGAGTTGTTCTATATTTTATTAGCTTAAGAAAGTGACTGAAATCGAATTGCTTCAATTTCTTTCGTGGTCAACTAATTTAGTCATGTTTTGGCACCATGTATTGCACCATATCGGGTTTCCTTGCCTGGGAGGAAGGAGAAATTTCCATTTTCCACGATCAACCTACTGTGATTGTTGGTATGTCAATTTTCCATTTCGAGCCGAAGAGGATTTTCTTAAATGTCCACTTGTTCGCGGAAGCTTAGAAACGAGTTCACTATTTTTCGCACATTAACAGGAAAGAAAAGCAATCAAAGAACACAAGAAATTTCATGGCAGTACTTGCGACAACTAAAAATGATTGATACTACATAAATTCAACTGGTAAGTCCAATGTAGACCAATCGATAGCGAAGAACGCTTAAAGATTCTCATATATTTCCTATTTCCTTCCTTTTCCTCGGAAGTCGATATAGATCCAATATTGGTGGAGGGACCAACGTTTGGTTCCATATGGCAAAACGTGAAATTCTAACATAGGCTTAACGTTGACCCAACGTGGGTGCGCTGCCGGAGTACATGCTTAAACTATTATACAAGAACGACTCCCCTTGTCTTCTATAGCGTATAAGAGAGAAGTTAAACAATTTCGGAACACTATTACAGTTTGGACTGAAGTCAATATATACGGTGGCGCAGGAAAATGTTTCACATTTCATTAACCTGTATTTTAATTATTTGTGACAATAGAAAATTGAATTACGTGTCATCAAACAGGCAAACTCAAAGAGTTTTTTCAACGTTGAAAGAAATGCTCAAAATGTTCACCGTTCCTTTGAATCATCTGTCTGTATCTTACAGCAATGTTTTAAATAGCTTTGTTCAGGAGTTCCTTGCGTTATTCCTCTGAGCGCTGTAACCTCAGAATGTTCATCATTGGTGTGTGGATTTGTGGAGGACGCCATTTCTTAAAGGAAACACCATTATAAAAATGAACCTGGCGGTCTATGATCAGGAAATGTTGCTAGCCACGAGATGTCCCTTTTCATACTCATAGCGCTTTCTCCTCAATCTTATCAACGATCTTCTCAATCGTAGGACTTGATTGATGTGTTTTATCACGAAGAAAGGAGAGCTAAGGATGTTCATCGTGCATAAATTAATTGAAATACGTTCACCTGCCACTGTGAAGAGAGAATGTATACGACGGCTTCCTGATGAAAATTAAATCCAACGATTGAGAATATCGACGATAGGTTTTGAAGAGAAAGCGTTACCAATAGGAGGGAGGACATCCCGAGGCTAGCACCATCTCCAGACCGCGAAATTCTTTTCTAAATGGGTTTCCTTAACAAAAGGTGTTCTCCACAAATGCACAAAAAATAACGAAGTCAAACGTCCTTTGGTTACAAGGTTCTGAGGTATAAGATAGAAGGCACTCAACAAAGTTATTGAAAACACTGCTCTACGTTACAGACAGGTCATCTATGGGAACGGTAAACAATTCAAACGACTCTTCCAACATAAAAAACTTAATGAGTTTGTCTATCATATGGCATTTCGACCTTAATAAATAATGAAAATGCCGGTTAATGAAATGTAAAACATTTTTGTGCGCCACCCTGTATATGAATCCCATGTCCCACTCCTCTTTAGAGAAATGGTTGAATGTTTTATATCATCTGCGGTAGATTCACAAAGACGAATGCATTCATCATAGTTTGTACAAATTCTAGGTATCGGTTAACCTTGTAATCCGAAATTTTATCCTAAGAAAATTTATGAACCCGGAAAGGGAGGAGGAAAAGTCATAGGATAAATACTTAAGATAGCGGCAATCAAATATGCTTTTAAGGAAATTGGTCATATCTTTAGTGGCAGAACGGTTGGAAGGTAGCGATTTTCTTCCCTGAATGCAATAATGAAAAGAACCTAACGAGTGTTACCAGTGGATATACAGAATAATGCGTTCAATTTATTTCATTCTGTAGCCTCATTTAAACGTTCTCACGAGAATCCAGTGTACGAAGAAATGCCGAGTCCCATTTCGCCGAATTCCAGTTTGCCTAATAACTTTTTTTCCTAATGTAGAATGCTCGAAATGCCTAGGAGCTAAAACGGAGAAACACAAAATGCCAAATGCTAAAAGCGCCAATGAGACATTTTATTTCCCTATCTTATATGGTACATAGTAATCCACTTTCCAAGAAAATTGTCATCACATGTCATTAACAATGAGTTAAAAAGGGTGCAAGTGGGGGGGGGGGGGAGATCAAAGAAACCAATTGCCATTCCGTAATTTCAAAATCGCACATTGTGGGCGATGGCCCTCAAATATGATGTTATGTCATATGTTCTATATGTCTCACACGCGTCCGAGAGACTTTCAGAAATCTCTTTTCTCCTCTTTTTAGGGTGGACTAATTCCAAGCGCTGAATCTCATGTTCAGTGTTCACTCGCTCTTCGTACAGTTCGTGCAGGAAGACAAAGATGCTGGTGTGGCTTTTGCCAACTGTAGATGAAAAGCGCCTGAGCCAATCTTCCATATTCTTTGTCGCATTTCTTCGTCTAGCTGGCTTACTTGTGTTGGTAAAAAGGCAAAGGCTGAAATTATTTGGATAGAGATGGATATTTTTCCGTCATTGACATACCGAGAGGTAAAACCTTCCTCTTGTACCTATCTGCACCTCTTCCTTCTATTCATGGGGCCTGACTAAAATGAAAAAAGCAGGTTTCATGTGCGTGATGAAAGGAACTCTTCTCTCAAAATCAGAGGTGAATTATGTAACGCGTTTTCTGCGACCATTCCTCGTAATTTCGTCATCAATGTCTCGAAAATTTGAGGAATGTGTGCGATGCTCCATTTCGCCTGCAAAAAAAAAAAAGAAATCAGCTGTCGTTAAATTAGGCCAAGAGTGCTTGCTCAGAGTGCCGTCACCCAGTGTTGCGGGATACCGTGCCGAAACCATGCAAGATTCAAGACTGTTTCAAGTTTCGTATTGGCGTCTGGATCTTATGCTTTTTAATTAATGAGACGTTTTTGTGCCGTGTTCATGAATTGAGCTGAGAATGAAGCGATGGTTAGCATTTATTGATCGATGTTGTGGGATGGGCAGATATTTTATCCAGACATCCCTGAATTATCAGGATGGCGCATACCATGAATTGCATGCTTCTTGAAGGCATTCTCTCCTTGGACCTATTCGAGATGGTTCGAGGAACTCCAGATAGGTCTAACATTCCACGTCCAACTGAAATGGTTCATGAAACGCGAAATAGGCCTCCAATCGGCCTAACGTTACATGTCTACTCCGAAATGATTGATGAACTTATGAATAAGCCAGTGATTGGCCTAACGTTACATGCCCTCAACCAGATGTCTCGAAGACCACGATTCACCCTTATTGGCCTTATTGGCGCCGTAAGTCGAGAATTGAGTTTCTTTTGAAAAGTGAGAGTCGACCTTGGCGTGACCTGAAGATATTCTGCTGGTTAAGTCTAGGCCTAACGTTAGTGAGTCCCTGTAGAAAGTGAAGGGGAGGGGAGGGGGGGAGTTGAAGAAAGGGAAAACAATTGGAAATTGGTTTTCATATTATCAGATACTATTGATACATTCACCTATCCGTCTGGGTTTTCGGCATTTGCGGCATTTTTTTTCGAGAGTCTGCTTCCTGCCTGCCAAATGATGATACAGGTTCCTCGCCGTCTTCCAAGCCTCATCAATGGACTCTCGACGTGTTCCCAGTTTAGGGCTTGTTTGTTGTTCCCCAATGATCTCCCGGAAATCTTTCAAGATCCAAAAGGAGATGGAGATGGGTGCATCCATGACAGCAAGCCACCTGTGTACTCCCACGTTGTCAGTATTCCTTGGGAATATTCCACATGCGCGGAAGTCGTCCTGTATGCAGGAATTTAGTTATGCCTCCCATGGTAACTTGATCACTCCAGCGAAGTATTTCTTGGTTGAGGTTGGGGGTAGAGAGCCGCCAAAATTATCTTGTGCATTGCACAGAGCTCACTTAACTGGATGGTAAGGGGCGTGTAATGGCCATCCACAAAGAGGACCACGGGGAAGTCGATCATTTGTGCGAAAAAATAGGGGTACAGACGAAAAATACTCATAAAAGATTTGCGACTTCATCAGCCGTTTCTTGAATGGGCGATCCCCGAACCAACCGGCGCAGACTCAGGAATGTCGTGAGGGAGACGAACATATGGATTAGACCTAAGGGAAGTAGCAAATAATGACCACGAGTTGAAAATCGAATGCCTTACTATACGGCATGCTGGGCGGAAATGGGGGTGGAAGAGTGCGGAAGAAGGATGTGGGGGGCTTGAATCCGTTTCAAGGTTGTATAAAGGGCACGGATTACCATATCACACTGACATACGAGGGCCACTCAATACGTTATCTACCTGAATATGAAAGGGATGAGCAACAGGCCTGTGCCTGCTGCGACATGTCTGGACAGGTCTCGTGAGTGCCCCACCACTATACCAGCTCAGTGGCTCAAGTCCGTTCAAAGTGGTAGCGCATTAGATTTCTTTTCCTGAGTCTGTGTCATGGATTTGACGAAAGTTGAACATCGTTCAGTGATCAAATTCCTCATCAAAGAAGGGAAAGCACCTAAGGAGATTCATGAACGTAGGTCAAACGTTTATGGTGTGTCTTCGCCTTCTTATTGCCAAGTTAAATTTTGGAGCAAGAAGTTTAACCCACATCCGTTCAAGCTTTTTTACAACCTATTCCGGGCAAGGTGAGTCTGTCAGACTCACATGTAAAATAAGGTCGTATACCCTCAGATCGAGAGGGCCAGTCGCCCATGTGCCACTCCCTTAAAGGAGACAGCCGAGGCGAATAAGAGACAGTTGTAGGAGAGAAAATGAGGAGCCAATCGACG